GTAGTCATCTCAGTAGGTTAAGCAGTCATCTCAATAGGTTAAGCAGTCATCACAATAGGTAGTCATCACAATAGGTAGTCATCACAATAGGTAGTCATATCAATAGATAAGGTAGTCATCTCAATAGGTAGCTCATTTTTGTATATGTATATATCAAAATAATATTTGACTATATATATATTTTTTTTTAAAAAAACAAGTCCTGTCCTTCGAATTTAATTTAATTTTTACTTTTTTTTTAATTTTATGCAAATTTTATATATTTTCTTCTTTTTTTTTTTACAAAAACGTACCGGGGCGCCATGAAGAAAACAAGGAAATAACAAGTTATATTTTGTGTTTTGGATTAAATTTTATTTCTACTTTTAAAAATCAAATAATAATAATAAATAATAATCAACTGGTATATATACTAAAACATTTCAATAGATATTTAAATTAATACTCAATTAACATCAAAATAAATTATTTCACAAATTTGAATAAAACAAAATTAATATACTATAATCAATGAAATTAATTTTCGGTTTGATACATTAAAAATATCAAATTCGTCGAATTGTTAGATATTAGTAAATTACAAATATTTAATCAAAATTTCCCAAAATATTTATTAGACAATTTAAATGACGCTTATTCTCAATTTTTTGACTTATACAGGCTGGAAACCGAATTAAAGGTAGTGTTTCGTGACGATGAATTTAGAAAGAGAAAAAATGTTTATGAAATACTTGAATTTTTAATTAATACGATTTGATGAAAAGTTTTAAAGAGTTTTTTAAATTATGCAAATGTTTTTATCTTTAAAAATAATCAAATCTTATTGTAGAAACAGAATGAGTCAAAATCGATTATCGAATCTAGCTTTGATTTCTATTGAAAAAAAATTATTGAAAAATTTAAAATCTAGTAATAACTTTTATAATTCAGTACATCATTTTACTCAAAAACCAAGACGAATTCTGCTTATTTATAAATTTTAATTTTTTATGGTTTGACTAATAAATAAAATAAAAAAATTTTTTGATTACTTCCCTAGTAGTAAACTTGACGCCTCGTCACTGATCTTAAAATAATAGTAGTTTGTAATAATATTAAAAATAAATTCGTATTAAAAATTTAACTCAAATCTATATTCCGAAGAAGAAGAAAATAGCTTCCTAAAAACAAGTAAAAAAGAGAAGAAAAGATATCTTGTGGGATAAATAATAATACGCTTAATTTTAATTATATTGTTAATAAATAGATGGCGTGTTACTTATATTTATTATCAAAAGCATTTATTAGTAAAATTTTAAAAATATTAACTCTAATATATTATATAACTGTCAGATACAGGGGCATTTTACCTAATATTTTATAAAAAATTATATATAATAGAGGATTATAAACTATATGTCTACATACTTTTTATAAATAAATCTCTTATACTTATTTGGATTTGGACCTTTAAAAAGAGACATGATAATTAAATTTAAAAATCAATAATATAGTTGATTAGTGATTTAGAACTCGGCTAAAATATTAAATTATTAATTTTCAATTAATAAATGATTATATTTATTTAATTAGGGTTATATAAAAGGTCAATTACACTTCAACTGTTAATGCTAAATTAATATTTAGTGAGTGATATTGTTATATTTTTAACATAGAATTTGATTGCAAGCTGACATAGTATAATTTATATGTCATAATCTAAACTAATAATTAAAAAAGTATTCATTTAATAAAAATTAAGATAGTCTTATTAATTTTTTAATAAAATTAAATCTATATATTACTCAATAGAATTATAAAAGAAATTATTCAGAGGTCAATTAAAAACATTTATTTTTAGCTCAAGGGGATATTAAGGAGCCATTAAAAAAAATTTTTTGCTTCATGGGGCTATTCAAACTTTTCAGGGGGCTCAAGCCCTTGTGCGCCCTTCCCTTAGCGACGCCATTGAAACGTACCGATAACATGACGTAGCGATGACATGACGTAGCGATGACGTAGTAAGGACATCGGAAAATTATAATATAGATATTAACTGTAATATATTCTCTAACTGTAAAATATGTCTGTAAAAGTGGAATTTTACCTAGTATTTTGCAACCAATTTTATATAATAGAAGAATATAACTCTATGTCTACTTACGTTTTATAAATAAATTTCTTATACTTGTTTGGAATGAATTATTACCATGCTTTTATATTAATATATATAGAAGTAATTTATTATATTTTATATAAACTAATAAAAATATATTTCATATTTGTTTCAGGCTTATTATTTTATTAAAATTAAGCTCCTATCGTGTAAAAATATTTTATGACTATATATATCCTAAAGTAACCCGACCAAAGACCGGGATAAAGCGGACTGTAAGCCCGCCCAAAATGGGTTCTGGGGGCGAAACGCTCAGCATATATTTAATATGCAAACATATATTTAAAATTAGTTTACATTGTTCGTTTATGTTAAGTATTAACTGTAATCTCTGCATACTTTTTATACTTACAATTATATAAATTTCGTCTATTCCCTTCCCCAATATAATGTATTAATTGTTTGTATTCCATTATAAGAAACAACATTATTCTAATAATACATCTATCTCCTTCCTCAATATAATGCATTTATTGATTGTATTCCATTATAAGGGAACAACATTATTATAATACATTTATTCCCTTTCCAATAATTGATTGTATTCGATTGTAAGGAAACAACATTATTATAATAATACATCTATTCCCTTTTCCAATACAATGTATTAATTGATTAAACCATAGGCGTAGCCAGGATTTTCCTAAGGGGAGGGGGGAATTAAAAAATTACTGGAAACTTCGCCCCCAGACCCCCTTTGGGGGGCCTTCGGCCCACTTAGCCCGACCTTCGGCAGGGTTTTCTTAGTCTATATATAGTTATAAAATATTTTTACAAGATAGGAGGTTAATTTTAATAAAAAAAGCCTAAAACAAATATGGAATATATTTTCATTAGTTTATATAAAATATAATGAATTCCTTGTATATACATTAATATAAAAGCATGGTAATAATTTATTCCAAACAAGTATAAGAAATTTATTTATAAAAAGTAAGTAGACATATAATTGATATTCTTCTATTATATAAAATTAGTTACAAAAAACTAGATAAAATTCCACTTTTACAGACATATTTGACAGTTAGAGAATATATTACAGTTAATATTTTAACAAATTTTACAATGTTCTTGATAATAAATATAGCAACAATTAGCATATTTAAAGCCATCTATTTATTTAAATAAAAAATGATATTAAAAATTAATCTTCATATTATTCAGCCCACAATGTCTTAGAAAATATTTTCTGATGTCCTTAACAATATTTTATAGTTTTCTGTAAAATATATAATTCGCTATATTGGTAAAAATTACTTGATTGTCATATAATAATTGATAAAATTAGATATATACTGTAAATCTATGACATATAATATTCCACTGTTCGTGTGCTTTAATTTTTTTTATTCAATTTATGATTTAATTTTATCAATAGTTTTATAATTATATTTTACTTTTATTAAGATAAATAAATTAAAATTACTCACTTTATATAAAATTATATTTGATATATTATATTATTTAGTAATTTTATTGATCTTTAATAATTAAAATACATTACACTTTTGTCTTAAGACTTATCTTTGGCTTACATTCCATTTATTAAAAAACATTTTTGGTTCACTTTATATATTAATGCTTTTTTTTAAAAAATGTATAAACTATGATGAATAGTTTTTTAAAAAAAAATCAACTTTTACATTCTTTCTTCAAATGATTGCTTAAGATATATGCATACATTTTTGAGGGTCAGGGAGTGGGGGGAGGACAAAGGGGGATATTTTTTATTAGATTAAAATGATATTCACAAAAAGTGATAAATTTCTGAAAGGGGGGGATTTCCCCTTGCTTTCCCCCCCTTCCGACTACGCCTATGGAATGAACCACGGAAACAATTATAATAACACATATACTCCCTTCCCCAATGTATCTATTCCCTTTCCCAATATAATGTATTAATTGATTGTATATAAGGAAACAACAATATTATAATAATAATACATCTACTCCCTTCCCCAATATAATGTATCAAGTGATTGTATTCCATTATAAGGAAACAACATAATCTTCCCCAAAAATAATGTTATAAATTATTTTAAGGAAACATTAATGCAACTATCATTCCTTTTTTGCCTATATTATTTTTATCTTATTTAATTCTTCTTCTTTATCCAAAAATATTTGTTTTAAAAAGTTTTTTTTTTAAAATGTACTTTGTTGAACTACATCTCCCTCATTATCCAATTACCTTTATATGGATTGTTACTATTGAAAATTACATTTGTTATTGCCATATCAATATCATCAGATTCAATGCCTATATCATCAGATTCCATGCCTATATCATCAGATTCCATGCCTATATCTAATTTTATCTTTATATTAATAATTATTACTATTGGAGTTTTCATCTCTAGATGATCCTCCCACATATAGATCCTATTGTTTCATAAATAAAATGTATATAAAAATTAATTTACCTATTTTCTTTCTTTTTTGCCTACATTATTTATATCTCTCACATTTAATTAATCTTCATCGAAAAGATCGTTTAAAAGTGTATTTTATAAAATATATGTGGAATTAAAACTCCTTCAATATACCTGTGGTGATTTATAAAAAAAATAAGAATACGCTACTGTTCCGCTTACATTGAAAAATCATGGAAAGATTCTATATTGAGATGTCTCGTTTAATGTGTACTTTTTTTATTTTAGGATATCTATCTCGCCATTCCTTATTTTCATGACCCCCCCCCCCCCCCCCCATATCCATAGGCTAAGACTTCATAAAGTGCTATTTTGTTTAGTCAAATAAAATGTCATATCCTACGAAGTTTAATTTAAAAAAATTGTTTTGAAGCACTTGTAATTTAATCAAATTGATAATTTACTTTTATAATAAAAAAAATCCATTTTCGCTGCGAGTAGGGTTCGAACCTACGCGGGAAATTCCCATTGGATTTCAAGTCCAACGCCTTAACCACTCGGCCATCGCAGCAGTAATACATATATTAAATTGTTGCATTTATATAGTTTTTTAGAATTATAAATAGGAGTGTGGGATTTTTTTTATCTATTTCATTTAAAATGTCGCTTTCAAAAGTTTTTATAACACCTTTAATACATAACAGTTCTAAACAAATAACTTATGCAAGAGTTAGGAATCCCTCGACTATTTTATATAAGAATTTCACTCAGAATACAAGATCAACTTTACAAACTCAAATAAAAAAGAGAACAATCAAAGAGATTTTATTTGCTCCAGCTGGAGATGGAGGTATATTTAATTAAATTAAATATATGTTATGTATATTGTAATTTTTATTTATTATAAGCCTTTACTCTTGGTAGAGGTGCTTTAGCCGGTGGATCGGCTTTAGGCTTAGCAGCTTTATGTTACTATGGTTTGGGTTTATCAAGAGATGTGGGCACACTAGACAAATCAATGTATATAATAATATAATAGTCATAATATATTTTTTATAGTCTTTGGCCAGAGATTGTCAGAGAAAGGGTTAGAAATACATATGCTTATTTTGGAAGTAGTTTGATATTTACAGCTGGGTCAGCATATTACATATCAAAAAACCCCAAAATATTAAATATGTTTGCAAGAAATTCATGGATAGTAATATATAAATTTTATTTGATTCTGATTAATTAATAAATTTAACAAGTCCATAGGTCTTACATTTGTTGCTGTTATAGCAAGTGGGGCTTTATGTAGATCAATTCCGTATACCGATGAAGGCTTATTTGCAAAACATGTTACATGGATCTTACACAATGGAGTTTTAGGTGCTGTTATTGCACCTCTATCTATGTTGGGTGGGCCATTGTTAATCAAAGCAGCTGTATATACTGCAGGGGTTATAGGAGGTAAGTAAATTCAAAAATATTCATTATATGTAATTTAATGTATTTACTTATTTTGATACCATCAATTTTTTGTTTATTGATATTAAAATTAAACATATTTTATATAAATTCTGATGCATATCATCTATGCATAAAAATTAAAAAATTTTTTTAATACAATATTTTATTTATTGAGATTAGTTATATCTTTTTTTGATATATGGGAATCTTTTTGTTATGATAACATTATACTTATATAAATATGTATGTTAGGTATCTTATCTAGATATATCAATCAATAAAATTATTATAGTTTTTGTTCAATTTAAATTATAATCCTATATTCAAATGCTAGGTTTATCAATGGTTGCTGCTTGTGCTCCTAGTGAAAAGTTCCTATCAATGAATGGACCTCTTGCAATTGGATTGGGAACTGTCTTTGTTGCTTCATTAGGTATTTATTAAATGTTTTTATTAATATATGTTATTTTTGTATCTTTTTATTATTTAAAATATTTATATTTTATGAGTCTGTTCACCAGCAGGGTTGCCATGTCTCCCCCCATCAGCGGGAGACTCCCGCAATTTTTTAGTTTACACGCAGACATCTCTATCCCTCAAAATTACCACAATTGAAAATCTCCCGCAAAAATCTACCACAATTTTTTCATTTCTCCCTCATTTTTTTTTGGTACTTTAACGTTTTTAATTTATAAATAATAATTTTGAGAGAGAGTAATTGATTATTTTTATATTTTTAAAATAAATTTTAAATATTTATTCGAAAAACAGGTCTAGTTTGTAAATTTCTTATCCTGTTTTATTTTTATCCAATAATAAATCAACATTATTTCATTCATATAAGTCAGTACAGGGGAGTATATCAACATTGATTGCAATACAAAAATAATAAATAATACAGATGCAACTACTGTGGAAACCATATACACCTATCATGTAGTTCAACATCCACAGAGCTATATCATCACAATGTGGGTCAAATCTTTTTCCCATGATATTTAACAACTCCAATATAAGTGAAAATCTTACTTGTGGTAGAACATAAATGAGCAAAGCTGTCACAAGTGATTTAGTACCTGAACCCTATAGGTCAATTCTAGACGATTTGAAAGATGGGCATCCTTATGCAATTCTAACAGATGCATCTAATAAGGGAAATATTAAAACATTTCCCTTGATCCTTTGCTATTTCAACAAGGATAAGAACATTTCAATAAAACTGTTAGAAAATTTTTCCTTGGATAGTGAAAAATCCAACGATGTAGCTAACCACATAATGTAAATATAGCTGATTTAGGGTTATCAATGAATTGCATGTCAACTTTCTGCGCTGATAATGCCTCTATAAATTTTGGCAAAAACCAAAATGTATTTACCGAATTGAGGCAGCACAATAATGAATTAATACCAATTGGCTGTATATGCCATATACTACATTTCTTGCAAGAAGGCAATGAATGTATTATCTGTGGATGTCTAAATAATTATGATGAAATGTTTTAACGAATTTAATTCATCAACTAATAGAGTTAATGAAATAAAAAAGTTGGTGGAATGGTCTGACTTGGAATGGTGTGAGTTGTTGTGATATGTACCTATCAGGGGGTTAACATTAATACCTGCCATCGATAGAATTTTAAAATTTTACAAACCCTTAAAAAAATACTTTTTAAATAAAGATTTTAAAAGCTGTCCTAAAATTTTGAAAAATTTTTTCGAGTATGTAATGGAAGAAACATATTTGGGATTAGTTTTACATGTAGGAAATCTACTTCATGCAGTTAATATTCAGTTGCAATCAGAATATTCTTTATTAAAAAAGATTCACAAAATCATGCTACAGCTCTGTTCATCCCTACAGTTAAAAATTGATAATAAATTTTATGGCGCTATTGCTAAAAATATTATATTAAAATTTTCAAATAATACTCTAATTAATACATTTTTATTAAGACAATTTTAGAATATTTACAATCAAAATTTTATCTTAATAACTCTATTTACAAATGTATAAATATTATGATCTTGGAACAGAAACCGTCAATTGATGGTTTTATTTAATAAATATATTAAAAAATACCGAAAGACATTGATGTCTTGTTTGAAGAGATTGTAATTCTCTCTATTTTTTAGAATACTTAAAGTTAGATGGTCTAAAAGCAGAGGAGAAATGGGTAGAATTTTTTCGTAATAACAATAAATCCCCATGCTTGGAAAAAATATGCAAGTATGTCTTCTCCTTACCTCATTCGAATGCCTCATCCTAGCGCATTTTTAGCCTGAGGACTGCCTGGAAAAAGGAGAGAAATCGGATTGTTTTAACAACATTAGAGGCCGAGCTAATGGTTAAAAAAATTTATAATATGTCATCCCAGGAATTTTATAAATATCTCAATAACGACGGTAAACGTTTAGTTCCATTATTTAAATCTCAAATAAAATATAATTAACATTATATATAACTATTTAATTTTCCATATTTTTTTAATATTTTACAAAATCTTATTTATATATTTGCATAAAATAAACATATTTTTTACATTGTAAATTTAAAATAGAGAGCCTTACAATATCCTCAAACAAGACATCAATGTCTATCGGTATTTTTAAAATATTTGAACATTTCACTATAGTTTTAGCAATGGCGCCATAAAATTTATTGTCAATTTTTAACTGTAAAGATGAACACATCTGCAGAATAATTTTGTGAATCTTTGTTAAGATTCTTCTGATTGCAAGTGCACATTAACAGCATTTAGTAGATTTCCTACATATGAAATTATTCCTAAATATACCTCTGCCATTCATTATTGAAAAAAAATTTCCAAATGTTAGGACAGCTTTTATAATCTTTATTTAAGAAATATTTTTAGGTTCATAAAATTTTAAAATTCTATCGATGACGGGTATTAGGAACATACCGCAACCAACATTGTGCTGACTCAATTCTATAAATACACTCTGGTTTTTCCAAATTCACTGAGGCATTATCAGACCAGAAAGCTGACATGCAATTTATTGATAATCCCGAATCTGCTATATTTTTTATTATATGATTAGCTATGTCTTTGGATTTTTTACTATTTGAAGAGAAAAAATTAATAGTTTTCTTGAAACGTCTTTAATTTTGTTGAAATAGCGGAGGATAATATATTTCCCTTATTAGATGCATCTGTTAGAATTGCATATGTATGCCCATATTTCAAATCGTCAAGAATTTACCTCCTGAATTTAGGTTCTAAACATTGATGATATCCTTGCTCATTTTTGTTCTACAAATAAAGTTTTCATTTATCTCGGAGTCGTTATCTACCCACATTGTAATGATAAGTAGCTCTGTTTGTACTACAAGATAAGTGATTACAATTGCCGCAACTGTAGTTGCATCTGTATTATTTCTTATTTTTGAAGAGTATTTTTGTTTTGCAATGGATGTAGATACACTCTCTACACTGATTATAATAATGTGATTGAACAATAATAAATAAAATAATTATCATTGAAATGAGTACAATATTACCTTATTATGTATCTAAACGTGTTAATTAAGCGCCTATCCCTATAATGTTATACACACACACAAGGTAGATTTCCAATTGCGGATGTTTTGTGGGACATTCGCATAAAATATATTTTTTCAAAATTAAAATCGTTTGTTTTTTTATAAAATTTTATCTTGTTTACATTCTTTTATATTTAAAAAGGATCTTTGGTTATTTTTTATTCTATTTTGAAAAATAGTTACCGAATTTGTATTTATATAAACTAATTATAAAAAATAATTGGCTGATAATTAAGTCAACCGGAAAATACCAAATTTCTCCCGCAATTTGAAAATTTTGGCCTAGCAACCCTGTTTACCAGTGTTATCTTACTTAAATATAATTCAGTATTCTATCATCTCAGCACACTCCTTTCACCCCTTACAGACTTATAAATGTTACTTTTAATAAGTATCAAAACCAACAGCATAGGCTCATCAAAAAAGTGCTTTGCAATTTTCCTAGTGCTTGTTGCTGGGAAACTTGGAAGGCTACCTATATTTTAATTATACAGATGGAGCATAGTAACTATTACATACTCACCATTCATAATATACTGATATCTTTACAAATAATAATTATAATAAAAATATAAAATCCTAAGCTAGAATAATTTTAAATTTATTGTCTTTATCTCATATACATGAAATATTATTAGTGATTTTTAAAAAAAAATTAATCATAAAACATATATATTAATCTTAGAGAAAAATCTTTTTAATTTATATTTTTATAATTTCTTATTTAATTTAACCATGATAATCTAATTGATATATTTATTAAACTTAGTAAATATTAATTAGACAAATTAATTTTTTTTATTTCATAAATAAATAAGATAAAAACAAACATACGCAAATACAATGAGGAATAAAATAACGCATAAATATAATGAAATTTATACTATTTATGTTTAAAAAGAGAATTAGAACAGATAACTAAAATATTTTCTAATATTTCAGGATTTAATTTAGTTCTCTGCGCAGAGAGTATAAACTTAAGGTTAAAAAATGCTCTTTCTATGGATACTTGCGTAGCTGGAACTGCTAGCACAGTGATAGCTAATTTGTAAAGCTCTGGAATTCTATTCTTTACATTTCCCCAATAATTCAAACGATTAGTATCTTTTTCTAATCTCTACATTATCAAATGATCGAATTATGTATTCTATTTCTACACATTTATTATAATTTTATATGCCTTTAGAATTATTCTTATTAATGCTTTCATGCGACTTTAATAAATCTTCAAACGTGGCATAGTATCTAGAATTTCAATATTCTGATTATTTAAATTTTGAATTAAGTTCCAAGTTTTAGAAAGATGGTTTTTGGCGATCTCTTTTTCTTTAAATGTTAAAAATACATTATATCTTGGGTCGAGTTATATAGCTGAGCAAAAAACGTCATTTTTCAAATTTATTTCTCGGGCTTTTATCGTGGAAACTAAAAGTCAGGCAAATGGATTGTCTACTTTGCTCGTTTGCATGATATGATCCACGTGGCATAAAAATCGCTTATTGTTAAGTTCACTTTGTATATTTATTATCAAAATATAATGCTGGATATAAAGCTTTTAATATACACTAATTATTTTCCATTCATTCTCTAATAAAAATTTTACGCGATCATTGCTTTGGAGCGATATTTCTTGGCAAAAGTTTTTTATTATCAAAATATAATGCTGGATATAAAGCTTTTAATATACACTAATTATTTTCCATTCATTCTCTAATAAAAATTTTACGCGATCATTGCTTTGGAGCGATATTTCTTGGCAAAAGTTTTTTAACTAGTAATCTCTCCAAAATTAAATAGATTGAGTTCCATCTTATGCAACATTTTATTAGTGGTTTTTTCAAATTTAATTTGGACAGAATAGCCATTCTTGTCTGATTTCTTATTTTTTGTATATGTTTATTCCTTTATTTATAATGACAATTTCATTTATATTTTTAATGCAATCATTAATTGTTAATTTAAATGTATGTGAGGCACATCTAATATCCATTAATATGGATCTGGTAGTAGGTTCAAGATTAATATTTTCAATATTAAATAGTTCTTTATTTTCATCATAAATTATATCATTGTATCTATATCATCATTATTTAAATAGTCATTACAGCTATCATCTTCTTTATCGTGATGTATTAATAGCTTAATTAATTTAATCATATTTGCTACATTATCGGTGGTTATCGTGTAAATTTGCTCAATTCTTATTTCATATTCTTTTAGAACATCAGAATAATTTTTTAAGATATTCTGATGTATATCTTTCTTTTATCTCTTTCATGATTTATAAATTGAACGTTGATCCCCAATATGGACGTCTATCATATCTAGTTGCTCTATCTAATTTTAACGAAATTTCCTTTTTTATATTTTGCGAAAAATCAAACGCCATTTTTAAAAATATTATTATGTATATCTTCTGAATTGATAGTTAAATTTACCCAATCCTATAATTATTGGGTCTATAATATTTCAAAAAGATTCGTCGTCAATTGATTTTATTGATTTTCCGTGCATTGTTATTTCTTTATTGATATTAATTTGTATTGTAGTAGTTCTGGAAGCATTTTGGATTGTATTATACTGATTTGCATTTTCCATTAGAGTTTTTTTAATAGTCAAATTTTCTTTCCTTTTTTAAAAATTATTTGAATTTTCTATCATGGAATCTTTCTATATGTCGCTAGAGATTTGTAGCATAGTACACATTTAAAACTTCGCCACAATCTTCTAGTTTATAAATAGATTGATTTTTTATAATATCTACTATAAAATAGGATCGCCAGGATTTGACTTCCCGAACTATTTAATAGATACTAATATACTATATTATGATGAATAGATCAGAATCTTTTATTATATAAATGGAATAAATAGAAATTTAATAGAAACAATTTTATCATTTATTTTTATACTAGTTGATAACCCTTCAAGAATGACGGGAATAATAAAATCTTGAACTATTATATGAATTTTTTTAAAATAAATGACAAATTTTAGTGATTATTTATTCATTTTATTAAATTTAGCGTAAAATATATATGAAAGTAATCAAAAATATAGTGTATTGATAAATTGGTATTGTATGTCATTTCCAGAGTTCAAATATTGTTGTTGCTATAAAAAATTTTATACTGGCATATTTTGGGGTGGTAATATGAGATAAATGTATTGGCTAAATATAATTTAAATTTATTTGTTAAATCTAGATTATAAAAAGTATTTAGGATTAGTGAGGGAGGTTAATTTTATGGCATGAGAAGATATTGATAAATAGGTATTTTATACTATTTGCAGAGCTCCCATATTGTGGTTGAGATAAAAAAAATTATTACCATATTTTGGAGTGGTAAATAATTTAAATTTATTTGTTAAATCTAAATTGTAATATATAAATTAATACATTTTACTTTGATTGAATATAAATACTTACGCTAAAATTAATATGAGATAAATGTTTATTTTTCAATTGGCTAAATATAATTTAATTTGCTATTTTAAATTTAATAATATTCATTCTTATCATAATTTGAGGTTAGGTTAGTTCTTTTTTATACAACACAATAAGATCTAAATTATATAAATTAATCGAAAAATATGTTAATAACAAATTAATAACATATATAAGAAAGATAATAATACAAAATTTAATATAGAAGGTGGCTAAGCGGGAACAACGTTGCCTTTAAAACGTTGTCATGGGTTCGAATCCCGTGATGTACAAAAAAATTTTCTAAAAATTTAACATTAGAGATATATAGTCTCCATCGATTTATTTAACATTAAGAAGATAGGAAAGTTGATAGAAAAAATAAAAATTAACATTAAGATGATAGGAAAGTTGATAGGAAAAATAAAAATTAACATTAAGATTATACGAAAACGTTCATTTCTTGATTACGGAGATTATATATATATAGAATATATAATATGGTTATTTTATATCTTTTTAAAAATAACTTGGATCATAGAATTTAAATGACAATAAATAAAATGGTCAGCAATATTTTAATCATCAGTATAATTTTTTATTTAATAATCATATAGTTTTTTTAAATTCAGTATTCTAATATTCATTTAAGTCATTATAAATTATTTATTATGAAAATAATATGTTAGTTAGCATTTACCATTATTCATATATGCAAAATAGAAAATATGATTAAAGAATAGCATTTGTGATGAATAGTCTTCTAAATCTGTTTTTTTTTGAATAATAAAAAATCTTACCATAAATCTTCAGTTTAAATAAGTTAACCAACATTGCATTAAGTTATTTTTATACTTTTATTTATTTATGTGTTTTATATTGAATAAACAAACTTACATTGAGTTAAAAATAAGAGCAAGTTTTACATTTTGATGTTAAACTAAATATAAATACTATAGTTTAACTTAAATTACTTATTTTATCATATTCTATATAAACTAAGATAAACTTTTTTGAATATATTAATTAGTAAGAAATTATAAAACATTAAAAGTGGTCAGTACTTGATTTTATTAGATGTTAGTTATTAATGGTAGAATTATATGATTTTTCCCTAAATTATTAGCAAGTATTATTATAAAAACTAATTAAAAATATATATATAAGATTAAACTTGTTAATTTAGCCAAATATACTATTATGATGATATATTTTTTTTAATCGTATATATTATTTATAATGCCATTAGGAAGTATGTTCCTGCCACCCACAACCATGCTAGGAGCTGGTCTTTACTCGATATCTGTTTATGGTGGTCTTCTTGTTTTTAGCCTTTTCCTTTTATACGATACGCAAAAAATTGTCAAAATAGCCGAGAATTACCCTACTAATCAAATAGCTTGCCCATATGATCCCATAAACGCGTAAAATATTTTCAATAATTAACAATTTTTTAAAAATTGCCTATCCATTTTAGAAAATTTAACAAGAACAAGTTATATGCTTTGTTTAACAAAGTTTTAACCCTTGAACAGGGTCATATTTAGACTTTCAGTTTGTCGGGGCTCAATGGTTCAAAATTTATAAAAATTTAAAACCTATTTGTTTGCTTTGAATTTATTTTTCTGAATTTTAAAGGGTCTTTCCAAAATTTTAATGAGGCTCTAGCTTCATAACCCTTTCCTATTTACCTCACCTGCTTCTTTAAGTGTAATGTAGGGTTGTCGGAGGTTTTAAAATTGGTATTTATTTAAATTTTTACTTCTCTTTTTATTTGAAAATTATTTAGGGGGTACATTGTATATATATATATATATATATATATGTTAGCATCAATATGCTATAGGTTATATAATTTTTTGAGCCCTTTTTTTAAACTATAAAAATCTGATTAATGTAAAATACTTATTATTTACGAGTTTCAAATAATTTTATCTCAAAAAATGATTTAAAATTGAAAAAAAAACATATTGACGCTATTATATAATTTTTTTTTATCTATATAATATATATAATATTTTTTTAAAAAACAAAATTTTAAGTTCGATGGGTATTTATATGGATACCTTGAATATCTTTATGAGAATAGCCATGATACTAGCTCACGGTGGAAGTTCTAATAGAAGAAAATAAAATTCAAGATTTTTATAATTTTAAGTTTATTTTGAATATCTCATATTATATCTTAATCTTGTATTGTCTAATGATTTTGCCCAAAAATGTCAAATTGATTTCTAATCATACTATGAGTTTAATTACATAATATATTTTAGAAAAATATCTATACTGTGGTCGTAATTATGACTTATTATTATTACTTATACTTTTAAATACCTTATTCTTCCTGGGTTTTCTTTACTTGTCTTAAATACCTTATTCTCCCTGGGTTTTCTTTACTTGTCCTTGAATACTTATAAACATCATTTGAGAAAATGTATTATCCTAAATAATAATTTTTATGTACCAATCAGAAAATATATTTCAATAATATATGTCCAGAGTTGGGCGTACCACGAATTTTATGATACGTCCGTAATTGATTTTCTCAAAATTTTTAAATATATTATTTGAGGATTTTTATTCCATGGCTATATTTATAGGGAATTTTTTCTCCTATTTTATTAATTTTGTAATTTTTGATATCTTTAAAAACTGGAAATTATTTTCCTAAATTCGTTACCTTTTTTTCAAAAGAATATTTTTCATTTCTTGATAAGTTTGTTCAATATTCACTTTTAACCTTATTAAGTTTGTTGTTTTTTTATTTTTCTCATCTTTTTATATTTTATAATATATATCATTTTTTTATATTTTCACTAGATAATTCAATTTTATAATTCCTGATACATATTTATTATATTCTCATTTATAAGTTTTGGCAAATTCCCTTACAACCTTTATTGTAAATTAGATATTTTAACCCTATAAAAAGCTACTAGTGTGTCTGTCTGTCTAATCTAATAATGAATAGGCTAATGTTAAAATGTTTATATTGATTATATAATTTATTTCTACAATTATCGATAATTTGAAATGATTGTAATATTGTATTCAAATAATAATTATCTTAATTTAAGGGGAATAAATATATTAATTTATATTTTACTGTCAACAATTATGAATTTCCCTTTGGACACATACTGGAAATGAAAATAGTAATATTGGGGGTGATTTAGATGTTGATTTTAGTTTTTGTTTAAAAAAATTATTTTAAAATAATTATTATAATGTCTCATTTGGTTATTAATTATATTTATAGTTATATTAATGATGGTAAAATATTTTATCATAGTTTCTTCATATCTATTAGGTATTATATTTTTTTTAAAACGATCCCATAAATTTTGGATTATCTACCATGGAGGAATAAACCACAAAATTTAATATTATTTATTTTCTTTCAGCTCATTGAAAAATCAACATACATATCTTATTTATCAATATGTGCATCTGTTATTTGATTTATACATATATCTCCATTCCTATTGTTTTGCCACACACAATTTTATATGGATATAAACTCTCCTATAAAAAAAGGGGTTCGGGTTCAAAGATAAAAATTTAAAAATGGTTCAGAGTATATGTAAATATTGGTTCAATATTAATAAAATAACCCACTTTTTCATTTATTTATTTATATTCTTCTCCATATAAACATAATTTAATAACAATGGTTAAAAATCAATTTATATTTAAATTTATTTTCCAAAATAATTTCTGCCCTAATCTGAAAATAAGAATTTCATGGAACTTAATGCTCGTATTTTAAATTTAGATTGAATATCTAGAAAAATTGTATTTTACTTTATTGATTGTATACCTTTGCTCCGTATTTTATTTTCTAAGATTGTATATATAGGGTAAATTATTTAAAAAAAACAAACAATTAAAATAAAATAACAATATGTTTTTTTATTTTTGCATAAACCCTCAAAAAATAAATGACAATCAAATATATAATATATAACAAAACAGATTTAAAAAATACATACGGTAATTTTTTTGCATTTACAATTTTTATATAATTTAATTTTTTTTATAAAATACATACGGTAATTTTTTTGCATTTACAATTTTTATATAACTTATTTTTTTTTATAAAATAGAGTTTAATATTTTTTTCAAATGTTTAATATACGACAAATTTTATCTAGTAATACAAATTCATTTACATTAAATCCTGATCCTGTTTTATATATCTAATTCAAATTCAATACCTAATATTACAAATAATTTCCATATGATTAATTCTTCCTCTGTAAGTGGTGATTCTAACCGAGTGATGCAGTTATTGTTATGGACAATGCATCCATCCATAAAAGCCACCTCATTGATTGTTTTAGAGCGCGAATAGAATATTTGCCACCCTATTCGCCGCAACTAAACCCGATAGAAAATTTTTTTGGAGTGTTAAAAACAAATATAGGTCGATCAATTCCCGACCAAATACTCGAAACGAAATAATTAATAATGTAACATCAATTCTTAATGAATTTACTATTCCTTTTGATTTTTCAAATTATTATAATAAAATGTATCAATTTTTGGAGATTGGTTATCGAGGACAACCAATGAATTAAGGTAAATTTATAAAAATATAATTTATATTGAAATATATTTTAAAGGAATTTAGAAAAAGGCGAATATATATATAAAGAAAAAACGAAAATTTAAATATCCAATTTTTAATGTATTTTTTAAATCTGTTTTGTTATATATTATATATTTGATTGTCATTTATTTTTTAAGGGTTGTGCAAAAATAAAAAAACATATTGTTATTTTTTTTTAATTGTTTTTTTTTTAAATAATTTACCCTATAAAAACAAAATAATGTATTTCTATTTATATCATATTAAATTACCATTTGTAATAAATACAAAATGGAAGCAAAAAAACTGAAAATTTTGAAAAATGCGAAGAAAATATAAAATGATTTCACGAAAAATCTTATTTTTATAAAATTTATTATTTTGCTAAAAAAAAATTTGATACCTTAAACCCTCCACTTTTCAAAAGGGTTCGGGTTCAGCAAAAACACGAGAGTTCGGGTTCACATTTCTGCAATCTTATTGCAATATGTGGGTAAGTGATGTCTTATTAATTCTCTATGAACCACAATTTGGAGAGTTTTGATCTCAGCTACTATAAGATGTTGTATGGAAGGAATATCCATCTTTGTAATTATATTTCAATTCAACTATGGTTATTATTTCATTAATCATGTCATGAATGAGATGCGCTTTATTAATATTTGTATTCAATGTCAAGAATATTCATCTTTTCTCTGATTGGAAATAATTGTACAAAATCTAATTTAAAATTATTATATTTTATTTCTATTCATCAATTTTTTTTATAATATAATATTTAGAACTTTATTTATTAAGAGTATAACAATTAATTGAATAGATATTGATCAGGTAAATTTAATTATCTTGTGTCTAAGATACTCATATTAAGTAAAAGATATCTTGTATCCAGAGTTGTTAAAAGATCGAATCAAAAGATCGACGATCCTGGATTCGATCGCAAATATGTCAATTTTACGAGATTTATGATTCTGACTTAAATTGAGGATCGAGATCATTTTGTTTAAAATTCGATCCCGATCTTTTTAAATATTAATTTGTTACTTAAAAAGCAATGAATAAAATAAAAATTTTGAAAATAAATTAAAATATTATTTTTTAAAAAAATCTCTCTCTTCATAGTTTATCAACTTCCATTGCACTATTTATTTTATAGATATATTTATTCATTTCCTAAATTTTACGAGATTTAGAGCTCTTACAAGTTATTTAATATAAATTTATAATAATATATTAATATTTATTTTAATAAGTAAATGTAAATGTCCATTATAGATTTAGAAGATTCTATTGCTTCTACTATTGATGTAACAGCAGATATAATGAGAATGAGAATCTTTTACCATTTTTGAAATTACGCAAGTATTTTACTTTATGTGAAATGGATGGCAACTCTTATAATATGATCAGCACCAAATGCCGTCTTTGTAGAAGATAATATCATCTTCCAAAATATCATCCTCGAACTTAAAGAGACATTTACAAGTAATTCTTTTAATTTTTTTTTATTTGATAATCTTAATGTCAACATGTTTAAATTTAATTTATTACATTCCTGATTTGAGCAGGTCCTACAGAAATAGAATCTAGATACAGATTCTTTATAAAAAAAATGAATTATTAGATACAGTATAATTAATAAAATATTTGATGAAGAGTTAATCTTGGTTTTGTTATTTATATATAATAATTAGGAATTTATTTTTTAATATTACTATTATATTAGTTTAATTTCAAAAGAAGAGTATTTATAATAAATGGAAGTGTAATAACTAATAATTAAGCCTTTTGTATTTTGACTTTCTTTAATATAATTAAAACATCCAGTTTAATGTTATTTGTATTGAACTTAGCAATGTTTCACCAAAAGAAAAATAAATATCTATTCTATTATTTCTTTATTATAATATGTTAAATCTAATCAATTAGTATTATAGTCAGTTTGAGCTTGATTATATAATCTTCTTGACAACATTTTTAGGGCTTTTTTTAATAATATATTTTGAATTGAAAGTATTTTTTGTATCATTTGACTCAATCCATAAGTTCTTAAATGCCAAAAAGCCCCATTATATTCATAATAGGAAAATTCAAAATCTTTGGCCCATATCATCTTGGGCAACTTTTAATAATGATAGACAATATTGTAAACTTACATTTTTAAGATAACCTACCCCCTTTTAACCACAATAAAACATACTTTAATATGTTTAACAAAATTTGTTGAACCCTTAATCCATAGTTCTTAAATGCCAAAAAGGCTAATTATATTCATATATAGGTAAATATTTTATCAAAATCTTTAGCCCATATCATCTTGGGCAACTTTTAATAATGATAAACAAGGACAATATTGTAAACTTAAAATTTAAAATAACCTATATGAACCTTTTTTAACCATATATAAATTAAATAATATACTTTAATATGTTTAACAAAATTTTTGTTGAACCCTTTATCATTTTTTTGTTTATATAGGTTTTACATTCAGCCTGTACATTGTTTTTTTTAACTTTAAATTTCCATATAAAATTTTAAAAATGAAATTTGATTCAGGAGAAATTATTTTCATCCAACTTTGATACATACTATTTTTTTCTTTTATAAAGAAAAAGCACAGTGAATTTAAAAATGAGATAACGAATTCTCTACACAAAAAAATATATCACTGCAAAACCAAAGTGGTTCTGGTTGCAAATCCAGACAATCTAAATTAAATTTTAACAATCTAAACATTCCAGCTGTATCGTAAAAAACAGCAGACAAGGTTATCATGGATTTTATTATAGACACCTTCCAACCACTGTCTCTGGTTGATGATCCTTCACTTGAAAAAATGATTTAAATTTATTCTCCTGCTACAAAAATTATTTGTCGCCAAACACTGGGCAACAGGATATCTACTTCCTTCTCTTATATGACGACAAATCTTATAAGAGATTTGTCTGAAGTTTCTTATGTATGCACCACTGCTGATTGTTGGAGTGGTCATCGAAGGTATATTATATTTATATGAATTTTATAATGTTTATTTTATTAGGGCTTTTATTGGACATACTGCACATTGGCTGGATCCATTAACCCTCAAGAGAAGGTCAGCCGCTTTGGCACTGAGAAGGATAATTGGGAGGCAAACATATGATGTTTTGGCCAACGAAATCATGGGTATCCACAAGTTTTATAAAATTTATAATAAGGTGGTGAAGATGGTGACTGACAATGGAACCAACTTTGTCAAGGCATTTAAGTAATATTTATATTTAGCAAAAAATATTTAAATTAATTAATTTTTTCTAGAGTTTTTGGAGAAAATGAAGAAGATAGTAGTGAGGATATGGAATTGATAAATTTGGATGACATATTATCCGTTGATGACCCAATTATTCCTACTATCAGCCTACCAAAACATCAACGTTGTTGTTGCCATAATCTTAACCTTATTGCAACAACAGATGCGGAGATGGCAGATAGTGATCTCAATTATAAACTAATATCTAGATCCACTTTTGCAAAATGTTTTGCTTTAGTTAATAAACAAAACATGTCGTCAAAAATGGCGGATATTTTATTGGAGAAATTGGGAAGATATTTAATAGCTCCCAACAAGACAAGATGGAATTCTTATTACCAATCCATGAAATAATAGTTAAGATGCTTTCTGAAAAGTTTTCAGAAGTAGAACAAGTATGTGATCAAATTGGATTTGCAATGTTTAGGCAAGTGGAATGTTTTTTTGTTAAAGAGTATGCAACAGTAATACAATGATATTCTCTAAATAAATTTAGGTTATGGAACCTTTGGCGATCTCGTTAAAAATCTTGGAACGGGAGGATAATATGGAGCAGGGATATCTAACTCCCGTTCTATCGATATTGATAGATAAATTAACGAAATTTAGCTGCCTGCGGTATTGTCAGCCCCTTGTAGATAGTGTTCTTAGAGGTATTGATAAAAGGTAATATTTTTTTATACAATTATTTTATATTATCAGATATCTGCAAAATATATTTAAAAAATTGCAAAGATCTGGCAAATTTAGTAAAATATTTTTAACAGGCCAGTTCTACTAAACCTCTGAAATCTAGTAAAATATTAGTGGGCCTTTGAAGACATTAAAAATTTATTAGATTATTTGAATTTTAAGCTAATATTTTGATTAATATTCTTTGTAAATAAATTACAATGTTAATTTCTTTGTATATTAAGTATTAAGTTTACATTTAATCAATATTTATGATATGACCCAAATATAAATACCATACAGATGATGTGCCAGATTTGACTGTAAAATTTAAAAGGGTTAAGTTTTGCAGATACTTGATTTGATTTATATGAATAAAATGAACACTTATTTAATAATAAATTAATTATCATTTCATAATATAGATTTCCTTCACTGTATGAAGACAGTAACATTTTGGCAGCCATGATTCACCCTAAATTTAAACTTAATTGGCCTTATATTAATCTGCCACAAAATATGATGGTAAAAGAAATATTAGTTGCCCATTTGGAAAATATGCAGAACAACCATATGCGGATACCTCAAATGAATGTATGGATAACATTGATGCTTTTTTTGGGAAAAATACTGTACAAAATGCTTGTTCCGTTAAAAAAATTTTTTAATTCAAATGATGTTTCCATGAATAGCATAACATGTTCTAAATGAAAGACGCGGATGTTTAAATGATGATAATTTAGAAAAAATTTTATTATTAAAAACTAATATTTATTATTCAATTACAAAAAATTTCTACCATATTTAATTTATTTTTATATTAGTTAATTTTGCATCGGTTATATTATATTATTATTCAATTACAATAAATTTATAACATATATTAGTTAATTTTGCATCGGTAAGAAATTTCCTTCAGAAATTTAAATAGAAAAAAAGGTCGATCCTGGATTTCGATCCTCTTTTTTTGAAAAGATCGTGATCGGGATTTGATCGTTTTAAAAAGATCGGTTAACAAGCCTGCTTGTATCTTTTTGATATTTTTAATAAGATACTTATATCTGTATCAAAGCTTATAAAGAATCTATATCGAAATCCTTTTTAGCAATAACTTGCCCAACTCTGTATATGTCAAAAACCTAAAAAATTATTTGTAGAAGATAAATTATGTATTTAAAATTTCATTATATAATGTATTTATACCAATGTGCTAATCAGTATATAATCGCCGTAAATGTTTATTTATATCAATTGATATTTTTTTTCTTGTGTAACAGGTATCTTTATCCACTGATTGAATGCTAATTTCTTTTTTTTCCAAAATCATTTCATTAAAAAAAATTCCATTGATATTTTTTATATTCAGTTTTTAATTTGTTCCAAACATGATAATTCAGGGGATTTAAATCAAGAGAGCACGGAGGTTACTGAGCAGATTTTATAAATTTTGAGTATGAAGTCGAATGGTCATTAAGTTGCACAAATATTCTTTTCTTCCTCATGGAATTCACATTTAAACTTAGTACATTTCAATTTGTCTTCATGACATAATTTTATCAGGAAAGACAGATTCTTTCTTATCATCTTTTGATAATATTTTTAATTACAAAATTTTCTTCTGATTTTGTTAATTTATTTAATTATCTAAAATGTTTTGTGTTACAATTTATGAGAAAAATTTCTAAAATCGATGACACCCATCTATAGTTTAATAAAATGAAAACCCATTAAAAAAAATTTATTTGGGTGTGAGTTATTTTTTGAATCATAGCATTTTTGATGTCAGTGATGGCTCGAGCAAATTCTAAAAAAAAATTGATTTTAGGTTTAATACATTCTTTAATAAAATAGAACTATAGAGATTTCAAAATGCGACTCTTTTTTGAGACATCTGGTATAATAAATATAAAATGAAATTTTGTTTTTTTTATTATTCATATATTTTCTGTTAACGTTTAAACCTTTTTTTTTGAATCATTTCAGTATTTTTTGACTAGGTGGTTGAAAGACGGGATATATAAGGAGGCATTAAGGCAAAATAGCAATTTCTGCTCCTTACCCTTCATTTATAATATCAAATAATTAATACAAAAAACGTTCTCAAGCCTCGTACTGACTGATTTAAATTTTAGTTAATTCGCGTATTGCCACTATAAATTAAAAAGTATGATAAAATATATGAAATAGGATTGGTATTTGTACATACTGTAAAAAAATTTTGCAGTTTGAATTGCTCTTCAAAATAAAATTTTTAAAGATTTTTCTGAAAATGTTCAAATATGATTATGATCAAATTTTACCTAAAATTCCAAATTTTGTAAAAATGTATTTTGTGATTTTTATGCATAAGAACTCTTTCATGATGAAATCACAGATTTTTATAAAAATAATTTTTTATCGTTAAAAAATTTCAATTTTATGATCTTCAAATATTTTTTTTCAAACACATGGTTTTTGGCAAAATCAAATTATTAAATTGTAGAAAAACATCTAAATAAATAATCTCTTTTTTCCAGAAATATACTCCAGCATGTGTAGAATGCCTATCCTATAAATTTCAGACAATTTTGTATACACGACATTACGCAATAGACATGTTAACTGATTTGAGTTATAATTCGTGTATTGCCAGTTTATAAATAAAAATGAATCAAAAGTTCTTGATCGAATTATCTGAAAGTTTTAGGATGATAAGTATTATATTCATATGAATACGTAAAAAACTATTTATATACGTTTTTTAATTCTAATCTAATTTTTCCGAATATGTATTCCAATCTAATGTGTAGAATACCTTTCTAAATTTCCTACAATTTTGTAAGATATGACTTGTCTAAGGGAATTTGCATATTGACTGATTGCACGATTTGACTGTAACATATATATACATCCTTTGTTTACAACAATGCCACATTTGGAAAAATAATGTTATTAATTGTTTGAGATGTGATAAAAATAAGTTGTGTTTACATATATGCAACGTTCGTCTTAATGGATTAAAGGCTCTATCAGTCTAAGAATTGCAGGTGACAATATCTATTTAAATGATTATAAATGTTCATTTTTCGAATCTAGGTTAGCGACTTTTCATTTAAAATTCCCTCTCGGAAATCCAGGAGATATTTTATATTAAAAATAAATTTACATTTTACTTTTTCTATTTTTTCACTAGGAAATATTTTAATTTTAATCTTTTGAATGTTTATTTTTCTTTCAATAATCAAATTAATGGTTCATATCACCGCTCAATTATTTATACAAATTTCTAATGTAAGAAGAAAAGTCCTCTAAAAACACAGGATACAGTCCAATGGAAAAAAAATCCATTTTGGCCACTTATTTTATAATGAATTATAAATATATAGTACTTAATTTTTTTTTAAATAATAGAATTTATATTACCTTTTACTATGGCAACTTAAACAAATCGACTAGATTTGGAATAATTTTATTTTTCAATTATATGGTAAATAAATGTACGCAATTTAATTAAAATAACTCATGATAACTTTTTTACCTTCTCCTTTGTAACATTAAATATATATAACTATTTTATTTTTTTGTTGGCTCATGATTTAAATCTGCTAGAATTGATTTAAGAAATATAATTTTAAACAAAAATTGGACATATTTTAAAAATATTATATATATTACAAGCAAGATGGAAAAAAGGCATAAAATGATGTTAAATGAAAAGAAAGATACCGATAATATAACTAAAATTGTGCATATATATTTCGTCAGAAAAAAGCTTTAATGACTTAACCGGTATATTTAAAACAATGATTTTAGTTATACTTATACTATTAAAATATTATTGATTTTTATCGATAGAAGAATCAATTTATAAATGGATAAAAATATTATATTTTTCATAACTAATAATATATAACAAAAAAAAACTTTTTCTTAAAGTGTTTTGTTTGTTAGCTTTATTTTTTTTAGAGCGTTTTTATTATATAATTATATTTTTATTATATAAGTAAGCAATAAATGGGAGGGATAGATGCATAATAGGAAATGAAATACACATATTAATAAAGCATATTTAAAAGTACTTTAATATAATAATTAATTCATAATAATTGAATATAATTTATATTATTACTTTTGTTTAAATTCAGAATTAATAAAATTGAATAAATTTTGATATTTTAGGAATTAAATCTTCAAATAATTGTGGGGTAAGATGGATTCAGAACTGGTAAGCATTTTATTAATGTTGTATGAGGGAATTTATGATATTATATATATATTAACCTTTTTAAACTTACGCTAGTAAAAAATATTTTTGAGAAGCAAAATTCATTAAAAAAGAATCGAATTCATTTTACTTAAATTTTTTTTAATAAATGTAGTAACTTGTTGGTTAGCGGAGTTTATGATGGAGGTTTTACTTTTAGCCACTTCTTAAATAACACAGAAGTGTCAAATAAATATAACTTTAGGTTCTTTATTAGTTTTATTATATAAAATTTACATTTAATTAATTTAAACAAAATGTGTAAAATCATATGCTTGACTAGTGAAGCTTATGGGAGTACTTGTGCTTCCATATTAAAAGGGAGGGATAACTAAATACTTAAGGTTTCTTAAAATTTAATTATTTCTTATATTATTTATAAATAAACAACAAATTTTTTAAAGTGATTAATTTTAATAAAAAGGATGACCCAACCTTAGAAAGGCATTTTAAAGGACACAAAGATGCGGTAACATCCGTGGATTTCCACCCTAATGCCAAACAATTAGGTTTATTTATTTTTAACTCTCTCTTTTACGGGTAAAGGGGGGATGGGGTTATGATAAAAATAGGACATGTAAGTTTCTTTATTTATTAAAATAACTGTTCATATTGTAAGCTAATCATACTCATCTCATATAGCTAAGTATTTCTCACATACCTATGGAGAAGGTCAAATAGCCTTCGTTCACTAAAGCTTGAGATTTTCGTTCCAGGTATAAAGTCTTGTTTCTCAATTATTGTGCACTACTCAACCCAAAAATAAAAGATGTGATGGACGTTTTACCTTCTCTCTATATGTTCATGAATCATTTAAAGTACAGTCAATGCCACTTATATGATAAAAAAAACATTCATCACGTAATCTTATATTTCAGTTACCTTAATTTTTTGATAATGAAAGAGAAATTTTCGATTTAATGCCCATATGAAAACTAAAATTATTGGCCTACTAATAGAACTACAACAGTATCCAATCACCTCTTTATCTTTAACATCATGTAGATGACCTCCCTGCTAACTGTTTGAAAATAGTTATCAAAATATTCTATCTAAACACTTTGTTGAACAGCCCATGAATGATCATCTTAATATTGTTTGGTTTATTTTATTTATAACCATCAATAAACTTGTTAAATTATATTATTATAATTCATTATTCAACATGTACATTGATAAAATTTAGCCATTGAATTAAGACCGCAATTCAACTATTGTTGATAAAAGTTTCTTCTTAGTTACAGTTAAAAGTTACATCCTTAAGAAGTAACTAATTTCATTTCAAGTTACTAGTAACAATGAAATTTATTTTATAAATTATTTATAAAAACTCAGCATTTCTAATATAGAATCTTTTTATAATATAAAATAATTTTGCTATTTACAAATTTAAATGAAATAAAATTTAAATAAAGTTGCGTTGAAAAATTAATTATACCTTAAAAATGTATATACAATATAATTCTCATAAAAATTTATACTTGACTATTAACAATAAACTTTTTTTCAATATTGATATTTATAAAATATGCTCTTTTTTCTCCAAAAATAAACTTACCTCGAATAAACAAACTTTCCAAGGGAGCTCTTTATGTAGATAAAATAGTGAATGAGATATGTATAAAATTAATATTTTGCAAATTTTAAAAAATAATTTTAAAAATTTATTTATTTAAATATTAAGTTTCTGATCTGAGTTAGAGAAAAGAAAAAAATTAGGAGATTGTTTGTTTTTATCCTATTTTTTTTATTAAATGAGCGACGTTCATTTCATACTGAAAGGGAACTGAAGAAAGTATTTTAATATTAAGTTTCTGATCTGAGTTAGAGAAAAGAAAAAAATTAGGAGATTGTTTGTTTTTATCCTATTTTTTTTATTAAATGAGCGACGTTCATTTCATACTGAAAGGGAACTGAAGAAAGTATTTTTTGATAATATAATATAGTCCTAGAAGAATCGATCCTAATTCCACCGAGTACTTTTTTTAAATTAAGATATTATGAAGTTTATAAGATGCATTTAGCAGAGTATCTGAAAGAACCTCACATTCACATTCTCTACGTGTCATTTTATCATATTAGAAGGAAGATTCTTCGAAGTTGAGGTCGGAGAGGTCCTACCCGAACTGGCTGAAAAAATCTTTATCGGACTTTTCGGCCCTGCCTATATTTATTTAATGTGATCTAGCCCATAAAATATATATTATACAAGTTATCAAGTTCCTAATATTTTTTACGCAGAAAAAAGACATAAATTTGCTTAAATATTTATCATCTTAAAAACATTTTCATAACTCATAACTTCTACCCCACCTGTCCCTGCCTGTAAAAATATTTCAAAAAATTTATTCAGCCCGGGCTGCGTCTACTTATAAGTATCATTCAAAATCAATTTTAAAATAAAATGCAATATATGCTCAGCTAAAAATAAACAAAAATATTAAATCTATCACTTCCTCCAATTTGATATTCCATCTAAAATAAATTAAATAAAAATATAATCTCTTAGGCTAGATTTCAATTGCAGTGTTTGAACGATTGAGTGTTTCAATGTTAATTTTCAATAATTTTTAAATATTTGTTTAAATAAAGATTGAAACCTTTAGTCGTGAAATGCTACAATTACGCCCTAGTCTTTAGCGTAATGTTTAGTAAAACAAAATTTATTGTAAGTTCTGCACAAATGCGATAAAATAAAATAATTGCAAAGATTACATACGACAATATTATTTACGTTATAATTAAATTTTTAACAAATATTTATTAGTGATAGAATAAAAATCTAATTCCAAAACGTATTTGTTCAGGTATTTGTATTTAAGTACTTTATTCTAAAATTTTTATAGGTATGTTTAGTATTTAAAATACTTTTGTATTTAATATCCAAATATTTCTTTTTGAAGTGTATTTGTATTTATATTCAAATACATTTTTTCCAAAATTTGCCTAAATCCGATAATAATATCAATATATTTGTAAAATTGTAAGATTTAAATAGTGCATTGTTTAGTTATTATTATTTAATTTTTAATTAATAACATAGGGCTGTAGAGTCCTCAAAACTGATTTTTTTTCGGCTAGTCTCAATTTTTATTTTATTTTAGATCCAAGCCTTGACAAAAATTAAGAATTGTAAAATAAAATGGAAAATACTAATCGCTTTGTTCTAACTTCAAAGAATATACTAATTTTCGTTTATAAAGATTCATTTTATCTTTTTAAAATATTTTTATAAGCTTGAACGACCTAGTTCGAATTTTAAAACTATTTTTTAGTTGGATTTTATAATTATTGGGTCTGATCCCAAACCAAATCTAATTATTTGGGCCGAGTTAAATCGCTCACATTGCGCCCACTATGAATATGGCATTCGAAAAGTTACTTAGGGACAGAGGTGGAGTTAGATAAAACCCAAAAATAAGGAAGCGCCTATAATATCTTACATTTTGATTAACTTAAACTAGAGACGATTTGATAGTATTGAAAGAATAATAATATAGAAAAAATTGTGGGCGATTGTATTGAATAAACACGTGTGGTTGATGGTTAAGAATATTAAATAAAGTTCTTTATTTTCCAAAAAGATAAAAAAAAGGTTAAAACTTTATCATAATCATCTTGGTATATATACAAAATTAACATCAATTTAATATTAAATAAATATCATGTAATATAACGTTTTTAGCCTTAAACCTTCTACAATACAAAAAATCTATTAATAACATTGTTACTTTAATACAAACAATCTATTAATAAAATTGTTACTTATATGTAACACGCATCACCTCCAAAAAAAAATAATAAAAAAATTAAGTAATGACAATACAATTGGTAATACGAAGTAATTTTTAGAGAATCTCAAAAAATTTTTGGGAAGAAGTGACAAAAACACTCGCTTGACATGCGGGAGGTGATTTAAATGTACTTTTATAATATTATATGGATCAGAGGATTACAATGTAACTACATTCAATTTGAGAAAAGGTGGAGGGGAACGTATTGTTATAAAATTTGTTTTAATAATATTCTATGGGTCAGAGGATTAATAAATAACTAATACAATAAATTTGTGAAGAAGGGAGGGGAAATATTTGTAAAGGGGGTTTTGAAAAATCTATTAATAACATTGTTACTTCAATACAAACAATCTATTAATAAAATTGTTACTTATATGTAACAGATAGTATGTTCGTTTTATTAATCCAATATTTCCATTACTCTCACTTCTCATCACCAATTCAATATAACCTACATTCCTTCATCTTAATTGGAGTCATCATCAACGTTTCCCTAATGACTTCATCATGCTCCTTTTCCTATTTACCCAAAATTCATCTAAGCTTGTTTCTTTTATGCTACAGCCTTTTCCACCGCTTTTATTTTAAAATTTAATTGAATATACTTTTTAAAAATGTTATCGGAAATTCGATTACTACCAAAATATTTTAGCAAAGCAATTTTTTTATGTGCAAAAATAAAAAAATATACACTTTGCATTTGATTTATATTAATATTATTTGACTAATGCATTTTAACGTCAACTACTTTATATATATAATTTATTAAATTTCCCTAATATTATATTATATGTGGATAATTAATTAATAAAATACATGCCAAATTAAAGCACCATCTTAAGGTATTTAAACTTAATCCAATATTTCCTCATTATCAATATGAAAATTGTATATATCAGGCGCGTAGTCATCGGGGGAGCAAAGAAATGAAGATTTTATTTAATATTTTTATAAAAGCCCTCACCATTAAAGAGTTGCTTATTTTTTGAAGTTAAAGAAGACGCTCTTAAAATAATGGTACAAAAAAGCTATTCACTCAGAAAAAAATTATTTAAATACTAGTATTTCATGCAATATCTTTAAAAATTTATTGACCATGTAAATGGCTGAGTAATATATCAAAGCTTAGCAAAATTAGGGCAAATGCGAGGAATTTCATAAAGTATGAATTGTTGAGTTTAAGCCAGAAGTTTGTGAATTTGGTATTCACAAACCCTTACCTTCACCAAGACAAGTACATCGTTCAAATATTAATGTAGGATCATTAGAAGAATATTATATTATAATAGATAACTGAAAAATTCTTATTATATATTTTGACCACTATACACATTAGCACTTGTACAAATGAACGAAAAATTTTCTCTAAGACGAATAACAACTTTATAGAAAATACTCTATCCCATAAAATAGATTGACCATTAGCTCTTCAAATATACAATACGAATTTGACTCCAAACACTTATATAATCGAAAAATTAATTCAATCTATATCCTAAAAATATTTTTGTGCATAATTCTATACTTCCAATATTATAAATTTTTTTAAATATAGGGCCATTCTTTTTTATAATCAATAATTCTTATAAATATATATACATTAATGTTCGAAATATTCATATTGTAGTATTTGTTTTCATCACACATTCAAATGATTCGTATTGTATGGTTGGATGATGGCTCCATTTTAGGCCGATTTCAAAAAATGGCGACACCAAGTTTTTCTAGTGGAAAACTAACCCAGCCTTGGGGTTATGAATTAAATTTTTAATTATATTTGATAATTTATAGATTATTTAAGTGTTAGATATTGTCATTTTTTATGGTAATTAATACTATAATCATTTTATTTTTTAGGATATTTTTAAAAATTGTCCTCTGCCTTTAAAGCAAATTCCTAGCTACGCGCCTAGTAAATACTATCCATTATTGTTCTCATCATTACTAATATATGACAAAATGCGACCTTATTTTATTTACTTTATTTGTTAAATGTGAATAATCTTGCTTGTATTCCCAAGCATGGGCCATAAAACAACCAATTTATTTTAATTTGATATTAAACGCTAATCCTACCCCCCCCCCCCCCCTACACAAAAAATTAAACTCATAACGTAAAAACACGCTTCTAATATAAATTAGTCCATAAATTTTGTAATTTAGGCACAAGTAAACATATGTATCAAATTAATATTTTTTTGGGGGGGGGGGGTATTTGTTATAATAAAATAAATAGGCCAATAAAAAATTAATATGAATGCATTGACATAACTACTAAGAGGTAGGGTAACCGGGATCTGCCCTTTCATTTGAAATCACTTCCCCTAATTATATTTTATATGCATTTGATTTGTTGTAAAATAAGGATTTAAATAAAATTATATTTTGTACCCTAACCCTGTAATATGTGTAGATATTATAAAACTTATTCTGATGCATTTTTTCGTAAACTAAATTTTAATTTTAGACCATTTTTAAGTTTGCCCCATATTGCACCCACCAATTTTTCGTGTTTAGTTATGCCACTGAATGAATGCCTTTTTTTTATAAACGTAAACATTAAATTTGTAGCTTCAGGTGGAATGGATAGCATTCTCATGTTATGGAGCTTTAGACCGCCAATGAGAGCCTATAAATTCGATGATCATAAGGTTTTATTTACTATACATTTATTAAAATATGTGCAAAGCATATCATGTAATTATAAATTTATAGTATAATCCCCCTTATTATAAATTTTTTCATTAGCGTTATCAGTCTAAAACAGAAATTTAAAATATTAAAAACGATAACAGCTAAAAGGCTAAAATTTTGCTAGTTATAAAAAAAATCAACTCGTTTATAGAATGTAAGAAATAGAGCATTTAAATGGATATATGTATTGATATTTATTATTGTAATTTCATAATACAGGATGCGATATTTAGCATAGCTTTTTCGCCTACTGGTCATCTCTTAGCATCTGGTTCGAGGGATAAAACTGTCAGATTATGGGTCCCATCTATGTAAGCAAGTGAATAAAAAGTGAAATTTTTGCAAAGAATATTTTTTATAATAGAAAAGGTGAATCGACAGTATTTAAAGCTCACATGGCAACTGTTCGGAGTGTTGATTTTTCGAACGATGGCTTATTATTGTTGACCTCTTCAGACGACAAGACTGTTAAAGTATATAAATATTTATTGTATCCACTCATTATAAACTAAAAATATATTCGATTCTCATAATCATATATATCTATACGTATTTTCCTACTACTAGCTATGGTCTGTACAAAGACAGAGATACCAGTACAGTTTTTCTCAGCACACGAATTGGGTACGATGTGCCAAGTAAATCATTATTTTGTTTTAAAATTCCGATTATTATCTAAATACTTTCCAATGAATGATTATCAAAGATTTTCGCCGGATAGTCAATTGATAGTTACGGCAAGCGATGATAAAACTATTAAATTATGGGACCGTATAACAAAAGATTGCATTCACACATATTTTGAACATCACGGATTCGCTAATTATGTGGAATTTCACCCAGGGGGAACTAGTTTTGCCGCGGCATGCACAGACAGAACGATTAAAATATGGGATGTTAGGAATCATAAAATGTTGCAGCATTATCAGGGTAAGGGGTTTTCCACTCAATAAAAATTATAATTTTATATTTAAAGAATACATATTTCAATCGATAAGAGAATGTTTGCCCCAATTGTAATGCCTAAAATATAAAATACTTATAGCCTAGGAGTAATAAAGACCCTGCTCACCCGAAAATGTAAAGGGACCTTAAAAAAAAACATTTGTATAGGTGATGGGTAGGGGTAGTGTTGTTAAACGGCTCGATTTGAGCCGTTTTTAAAAACGGCTAACTCAATATTTTATCTAGAATAATATTACGCAAGCCTGAAGATTTTACACATAGATAGCACATTGGTCTAGACATCAATTAGAGAAATCTCGAGGCTTAGGCAATATTTTTCTATCTAAAATATTGAGTTAGCCGTTTTTAAACTCAAAACGAGTCGTTTAACAACACTAGGTAGGGGGATAATATTTTCCCAGATGAAGGCCATCAAAGTTTTGGATAGCCTATGAAAATTATCAAATAATTTATAAAATCTGTCAAAATTTTTAAAATATATATTATAGTATGAAATAATTCGGAAATGTTTGATTTAGTTTTATAGCAACATATTTAATTAAAAATAATTATGAAACCACATAAGTTGTAGCAATGTGCATATTAATAAATTAAGCACATGATGCATCAGTTAATTCGCTATCTTTCCATCCATCGGGAAATTATATCATTAGTGCTTCAAGTGATTCTACGCTGAAAATTTTAGATCTTATGGAAGGCCGTTTATATTATACTTTGCATGGTCATCAGGTATAATTTTATTTTAAACTAATATTAAAAATTATAAATTAGGGTTCCGTGTTAACAGTAAAATTTTCGAAAACTGGAGAGTATTTTGCATCAGGTGGAGCCGATGAACAAGTTTAAGATCAATTTTAAAAATTCGATTTATATTTTATTATAAAAAGGTTTTGATCTGGAAAACAAATTTCGATGATGCAGATTATGGCGCTGCCTATCCCAGAGGTAAAGTTGTAACTCATATACCACCGTCATTATCAATAGAAGGCATAACCCCTAAGACTACAAACTTAATGACGCCAGCAGCTATGTCATCCACTACTTCTATTGAAAAAGGCACAAATTTGAACCCAATCCACGGTGGTAGCATAAGGAAGGCCAAAAATTCGATGGTTTAGATATTTTTAAAAAATCACTAAAAACCTTCAAAAACTAAACCATTTCCCGCTTTTAAATACCAAGTTACCTCGAGAATTAAATTGTTCTATCCTATTATTGCTTATTGTAGGTTTTTTTAAAAGAAATAAATTATTTTCAATTCATCTATTTTAATTTATATAACCACCTAAAATATTTTTGGAGAAGGTTATGGTCGAAACCGAAGAATCAATGGCAAATAAATCGGATGTGAATGATTTGAGATCTTCCATGGATCACGTGATTAAGCAATTAGAAGAATTGACCCAGGTATTTCATAGTAATATTATAAGACTGTTTATTAGGTACAGCCAGTGTTGTTAAACGCTACTTTTAAAAGTAGCGCGCTATCGCTACCGCTATTTTATAAAAAAAATAGCGCGCTATTAGCTACTTTTTACGCTATTTTGATTTTTTTTTAAAAATATTTTTTACGTAACTTTATTTCCACAAATAAATATTGGTATAAAAACATGACTATAATTTGTTACATATATATAAATATATAATTTATTTATTATTGCACTTTAATAATAATAACATTTCGGTACTGTCATCCCCAAATCTAGAGCGATGATCAGAAAGTATAAGCTTTGCCATACTAAATAATCGTTCAGCACTAGCACTTGAGCGCAACGCAGTATTAAATTTAATAAACACTTTTTATATGAAAAAAATTATAAAAATATTATATGAGTATTTTTAGATTTAAAAAAAGCATCTAGAGATTCAATAATATTATTATTATTATTTATTTCAAAAAAATCATCTATGGAAGGCCGCGGTTTCGATCTTGCTACAGTATTAGTATCGTGGTTAGGCATGACATTTTTTAACGTTACCATCAGCCTATCAAGTTGCCCTTTAGATTCAGTTAAATTATTGTATGGCCAATTTAACTTAAAACTAGGATGAACTATAACAGCTATTACATTATCATCATCATACAGATCTGGAAATCTAATTTATATAAAGCGATTGTATTTATAAAAAAAGAAGAATACCTTTTTAATTTTCAAAATTTAAATTTATCTGAGATTTAGATTTATTTATAAAAAAATATTAAAATAGCATAAAATTATGGTAAATAAAGATTTTAAAAATATAATTATTATACACAAGGTAATTAATAATATATTAATTTTGAATTTTATATTAATACTATATATTAATATTATAGAAAGGATAATCTATATTTTTCTCATTTTCCAAAGAAATTTCGCTATCTTCAACAATCTCACACATTTTTAATAACTAGATTTATAATGCTAACTACATTTATAATGTATATTTTTAAATATAAATTTAAATTTCAAAATTAAATTAAATAAAAGGATTATAATTTTAGATTTAATAAAAAATATTTTTTAGATGTATTTATTATATAAAATTGAAAATAGCGAGCTTCGGCTATCGCTATTTTCTAAAAAAAGTAGCCAGCTAAAGCTACCGCAAAAAAGTAGCGCGCTATTTTAACTACACTGGGTACAGCATAGCCATTAATAATTCCTATTACGAAAAAAAGTGTTCATGTAGCAAAATGCTATATTTTAGCAAATCAACTGACCACTTCCTATAATTGACCTTGGAAGTAAATGATATTAATTAGACAGTTGAAAATTCCATATGATGGATCATTTAAACATTTACTCGTTCCTATATTTTAGATTTCCTTAGGAAATCATTAGCCTAAATTGTAAACCAAATTTTAAAATGCGGTTCAAACCTTAATATGAACAAATATTTATAAAATCAGGTTGGGCATAAAAATTTTAACCGGTTATTTCTGAAAAATTCAAAAAATATAATCCCGAGAATAGAAATAAATCGCTTTCCAATTCTCTGATTTTCAGTATTTTAAGCATATGCTCTTATATTTATAATTAATTTGCAATAAATCTAAGGCAACAGTTACTAAACGATACTTTTCAAATGGATTTAGATACAGATGCACGACTTAAAAGGTACTAGATAAATAAGAACCAAAAAATATGTAGTTATACATATAATTTTTTAAGGATACATTAAAGTGAGCCAAACATTTTTTAATCAGTTTGATATTCTATTAATCATTCTCGAAGTTATGTCAGTGATGCATCCCTGTTTATTCTTAATCACATTAAAAATCTATCCACTGGTGAATAGGAAAGTAGTGTTGTTATACTTTATATATAACATATTTATATTAGGTTTATTTTAAATTTTAAATTCTGACAATTATTATTTTTTAAATTAAAGTTTGATGGATTTTATCCTTACCATATCCTATAAGGGGTGTTTAAGAAAATAGAAAGATTTTTTTGGGTCTCTGTAAAATAAAATTAAGCTCGTTTGTTTTAAATAATGTATCTAGCTAGATAGATACAACATATATGTATCTAGATACTTTATTAACTCTGCAAGAGATTAATTATGCAGCAAACATTATCTTTCAATGTTAGCTGGGACACAATCAGGGCAATAAAAAACTTTATCAAATTTTGTTTTTTATATATCCTACTTTTGCTATAGACAGTTTCCATAATTGAAGAAAGGACAACTATGACTGAAAATAAAGTAACAGATATGATACAAAATCAACGAAGCGATGATAAATAAGAATTCCATTAAAATTTGTTCTATATTATATTTTAATTGACAAATTAATATATATCGCCCGCAACGTTTTCTCGCATTTATATTAGCCTTGATTTCTGTAAAAATCTTAAATTCCCGGTTTAATACCTGGTCAAGTTATAAGCGGGTTACAACCATAGTATACTTAAATAATATTTAATGCAAAAAAATAATTTATTTAAAAAAGTTCAATGCAAAATGTAATGCAAAATTTTAATTATGGTATTATATAAATTTGGTGTTGTTTGATAAAACATTTTGACGCGAATATATTATTGCTTAAAAATAATTATTATTATACTAGTATGAGGTAATAATAAACTATAATTTTTTTATGATAATTTATATTTTATAAATAAATTTAAAAATTTGTTTTATAATATAAATTTGTGATCTATATTTTTTTAAAAATAAATGGCAATTAAAATGCATATAAGATCAAACATTTCCTCAATACGAAAAAACAACAATTAATTACAGATATAAAGTGCTCTAGAAATATAAAATTGATATACTAATAATAAATTACTCAAATATTTTTATTATTATGACAATGTCTAACACATATACAAATTCTTGTTTTCACCTTATCCCATGATTAAAAAATATTGATGCAACAAGGGATAAAATTATTCAGAGTTAAACAGAAATAAATATTTAACAATTCACCCTCAATTTAATTTGGCGTAGATAGGGGGAGATATTTTGCGGGCCAAAACCTTGAATAACACCAGCGGTACGCAACTTACCAAAGTAACTACACAAACTTTCCACACGAAGGTGAGGGAGGACCTAAGGACAAAATCTCTATCGAAATAATGGTCCCGGAAGATAACGAGCGAGAGTAGGTAAACGGCGATACTGAATGTTTCGGCCGAAATGACGGCCCAATGCTTCCACCTCCTGACGGTAAGGGTCACCATGAGAAGTTCATTGACTATCAGGGCTGTGAATGTAATAGATACCACATGAACAAACTCGTCTTCGAACAAGAGAAAAGCCCCGATCATTATTACGCTTCCTTTTAATTTATATATTCAATCAAGTTAATCTCTTAGTTTAAAAAAAAAGATAAAGGGGAAAAAGGGAAATACAAAGAACCCGTTACTGGTTAACGGTGCATATATACACCACATCCTATATATCATTTTTAAACATAGTAGTTTTTATTTTAAAAAATAATAAAAAAAGGTTTTTATATTGTTCAGACACTGTACCTCAAAACTAAAAAAGAAAAATATGAAAAAAATATTTTTTATGTTCCTAAGAAGCCCTCAAACATGGCGAATTTATGAGGTTTAAAATGCAAAGTCTTCTATGTGATCTCACGAGCATATTAAGAAATTATTTCGATGAAAACTAATGTGTATATTTCTTTTTATAGATATATCAATATTTGTCGATCATTTTTGAATTTTTAAATAATTAAAATTTTAATAGGTAACCATATAAAGTTGACTGGTGTATAATACACCGTTAACCATTTATCAGTATAAATTATTTTAAAAAATTCAAACAAATCTAATTTAATAATGAATTAAATTTTTTATTTATACTTAAAACGAGTACGTCACTAAGGAATTGGGGGGGGGGGGGGGTGGGAGGAGGTGGCTCGAGCCTCCTGAAAGTTTTGAAAAAAATTTTTGAGCCCCATGAGAATCGAATAATATCTTTCTTTTAAATTTTTTATCTCAACCTAATTATATCAAATTATTCGCAAATATTCGGTTCATAAATATTCGAAAATTAAAATTATTCATAAAAATTTTAAATTATTTGTACCCTCTTCCTTGCTGAACATTTTTTTTCTTATTATGCACCTGTTTTGTCAATTCAATCAAAATTATCAAAATAATAATAACTAATTAAAAAATCAAGATTCTATGAAAGAATAAATCGTTTTCTAAAATGACTTAACAAATGAAGGAGTTTTACCTTCAGATACTACTGGTGAATCCGAGATTCAAATTTAATTGATGACGACATTCCAGAACCATCTTCTACAAGAAGCTACTCTTTAATTTCGCCATTTAAAATAGAGAAAACAGATACGTTATATTCTACAATTCCTTTCGATGGGGAAAATGAAGATATAATAAAACTTAAGACAATTTACATGGTAAAAATCCATCAGATATATATTTTTTAATTTTCGGCAAAGACTTATATTCCCTATTTGTAGATCAAAGCAACATTTATGCAAAACAAATGAATAGGTCTAATAATGTATAACCATCCCAGATATTAGAGATTTATTGGAATTCTATTATTTACTGGATAATTTGCTCCCACAGGAAAAGATGTATTGGTCTAATAATAGTGATATTTCTATTCCAATAATCCGAAATACAATGACCCAATGTTAATTACAAAATTTGAAATATAATATTCACTTGGCAGACAATACTAAAAATATATATGATAGATTTTATAAAGATAAGGCCTTACAAAACCAAATTATCATAAAATATATTTTGATAATTTCTATAAACCTTTGTCATACTTAAAACAAATGGAATATTTTACAACTGGAACTGTGAAAGATAATAAAATGGATCATTGCCCAGTTGAATCTATAAATGCTGTAGCATAAAAAAGAAAGAGGATATTATGATTGTAGGTTCGAAAATTCCTCAACCAAATATGATTCACTGTTTATAACAAACACATGGGTGGGATCTGTGTGATAATCCCATATCTACATATAGAATAAAAATAAGAGGGAAAAAAGGACGGTGGCTAATAATTTTATCGATGTAGCTTTGGTAAATTCGTGGAAAATCAAATTCATGAATCGAGATGACAAGAAGAGTTTGCTTGCATTTAGGCGAGAAATTACTAACTACTTCCTTCGAACACCAATAAACATTGAAATATATTTAAGTACAGGGCATGCAAGCCAGTTTGCAAGCGAAAACTCTACTGATTCATTCATCTATAAATTATTTTCCAAAATTATAGATGGAAAAAGACGTAGATGCAGATATCGTCCAAGATATATGTGCCAAACATATCAAATCACACTTTGTATTAAATTTTTTAGGGATTTTCATAATATATAAACATTTTTTCGTTTTTATTATAAATTAATAGAAAAAGAATAAAGATTAGATTTCTAGCGTTTTTTGATCTTCTAGTATTATACATAATTTATATCTTTTGTAAAAACAAAAATCAGAAAAATGTAACGATTGTCATTCATATAATATTCAGAAGACCGTCGTGTATTTCATCATATTTTTTTTAAAAAAAATAAAGTTAGATAATTATATATAATGTATTATTTAATTCCGATAAAACTTTCTTATAAACTAAAAATATAGTTTTGTACTAGTAAATTATTTTAAAAATATATAATTTAGATTATGTAATAGTGTAAGTTTAATGAAGCTATTATCGCTATTTTAAAAGTAAATAAGATTAGAACTTAAATAAAAATATTTAAAATGTTTTACAATTTATTAACGACATCTATGAAACAAAATTATATTTATATATTATTATAAGAAAAATATTTTTTCCAATCGGCGATTTGATAAATATTCTAAAGTTTTAAATGTTCTTTCTCCTAAAAAATTTTATTTGGCATTTTTTTTATTATTTTAAATTATAGATCATAAAAACAAATGTAAATATAACATCAAGATGACCATATATTCTACTCTACTATATATCATATCATCTATTATTTTTAATAATTTTTAATGAGGGTCATTTAAAAATTAAAAATATATAATTAAATTTATATTTACAGGTCTTTTCTAAAATGTAAAATTATAGAAAAATCAGATTATTTATATATATGGTTGTGAATTTTTATTTTTAAATAGTTTTCTTAAAATATAGTCATTATAGTATCTAAATATTTATTTTATCCAGTTACTAAAACTAGAGACGTGCAAGTTAAATTTTTTCCGGTCTGAGCCCGTTCTGACCAGAAATATATTATTTTAAGACCAAATTATTATTCTTATTTTAGGCCGAAGTCCAGCCAGAAATTTTCAATTTCAGACATAAAAACGCATATAATAAAGTTAAATAAAAATCACCAATTGCTTAGTCCTAATTCTAGAAGATTTTAATATTAAACCCACGTTTTTATATATTTTTAATTTAATCCTCAATCTAACAGCTGACTTGCAGGGTTCTAACTAAAACGCCAAATCTAATTTATAGAATTGTTAAATGATATGTTAATTTTTAAAATCCATGTAAAAATCTCAAAATTAACAATACTTTCAAAAACAAAAATGAATTTAAAAATTAAAAGCTACAACTTTTTGTTTTTTTCAGTCCTATGTAAAAAGGCTCGATGATGTTTTGAATAAAACATAGGTCAAAAACTTGCTAAATAAAGAGCAAATGAGCACTTTTAAATGGAGAAAATTTGGCGAGGCATGGAATAGAAAGTTTAATTATTATTCTAAATTTCGAAGGAAAGGGGTACGAATGGTAGTTAAATGTTATTTTTATTTAATTATGTTAAGTTTTTTTTTTTTTCTCTTTAGCTTTCACCTTTTCTGGTGGTAAGCTCCTTCAACATCTCTCTCCACTTTATGTTATTCATACAATCTCTTTTATCTATTTTATACTTCTTTATATTGGCTCTAACTTTATGGCCCCATTGAAGTTTTGGCCTTCCTCTTTTACGTTTGCCCATCACTTCCAAACTTTCAACTTTATTTCCTATGTAGTTCATAGGCCTTCTCATTGTGTGCCCATACCACCTAAGTCTGTTTACCATTAACTTAGTCTTAATGGGCACTACCTTTAAACTATTTAGTATTCTTGTACTGCGCACCTTATCCTTTCTTGTTACCCCAGCAATCATCCTCAGCATTCTCATCTCCATAGTTTGTAGACTTCTCTCGTCTGATTCTTTGGTTGGCCATGTTTCCGAACTATATAGAATAGTTGGATGTACTATGGAACTGTAGATTTTTCCCTTTAATTTGTGTGGGATTCTTTTGTCAAATAGCACTCCAGATAAAGATCTCCACTTTAACCACCCTTGATTAATCTTATTCTTTATCTCTTTTTCTATTGTGCCGTTTGTTTGTATAGTGGAGCCCAAATATTTGCAGCTTTCAATTGCGGATATCTGCCAATCATTTATATCAATACTCTCCGTTTCATCTCCTCCTATCACCATATACTCCGTCTTTTCTTTATTTACTTTTAATCCGTGCGTTTCTAGGATATTTATCCAATTCACTAACCTTTCTTTCATTTCATCCTTGGATTCGGCAAGTATCACAATATCATCTGCAAATATCATATTCCACGGGACTGTTTGAGGTATAGACTGTGCTAATACATCTATTACTGTAATGAAGGGAAGTGGGCTGAGAGCCGACCCTTGATAAACTCCTTCGGCTATTGTGAAGCCTGCTGAAGTACCTGTTGTGCTACGGACCATTGTTGTATGTCTCATATACATATCCTGTATTATTCTTATATATTTTTCGGGAACTTTTTTGTGGCGTAGCGCCCACCAGATAAGTTTTCTTGAGATTCTATCGAAGGCCTTTTCTAGATCGAGAAAGACCATGTGTAGCTTTTTGTTCTTTTCCCTGTATTTTTCACTCATTTGCCTAATTGCATGGATAGCATCGGTTGTTGATCTTCCAGGCATAAAGCCAAACTGTGTCTCTCCTATTTCGATTATATCTCTTAATCTTTTTTCTATTATTTTTTCGTATAGTTTTAGACAGTGTGACATTAGTTTTATGCCCCTGTAATTTTGACAATTGTGTGGATCCCCTTTATTTTTGAAGATAGGAACTAGATAGCTCTGCCTCCATTTTTGGGGAACCTCTTCATTTTCAAGTATTTTATTGTACAGATTTGTGAGGAGATGTATTCCATCATCTCCTAGTGCTTTAAGGCTTTCTATTGGAATATCGTCTGGACCCCTAGCTTTGTTGTTTTTCATATGCTTGAGGCATGTGATTATTTCTTGTTCTGTTATAGGTTGTACAAGGTTTTGACAAGTGGAGTGTTCATCGAGATGCAATATGTGGGAATTAAAGTTGAGAAGCTCCTGAAAATATTCTTTCCATCTATTTATTATTTCTTTTTCCTTTATTATCAATTTCCCATCTTTATTTTTGATTACTTTCGGAGCTCCGTTTATATTCCTAGAGTTCTTTTCTCGCTGTTTGGCTAATCTGTATATTTTATATTGCCCTTCTTTGGTATGTAGATCTTCGTACATGTCATCGTATGCCATAGATTTGGCCCTAGCCACCGCCTTTATAGCTAATCTCTTGGATTTTTTGTATCTTGACTTGTCATCTGCATTTTTGGATTTGTACCATATTTTATAAAGGGCTTTTTTCTCCTGTATAGTGGCTTGTACCTCTTGATTCCACCACCATAATTCTTTGTGTGATTTGTTGCCTCCTCTTGTCAAGCCTAGCGTCGATTTTGCAGTGTCTATTAATCTAAGGTCTTTCCAGATTTTTTCACTGACTTGTGAGCAATTTATTGTTTCAATGTTTGCATTGATTGCAAAGGCATCTGTCATTGTTTTTAATTTGCCCCATTTGATGCATGGTTCCAGTTTTATCTTATTTTGAGTGGATTTATTTGAGATTTGTAAATCCATGATTAGTAGCTTGTGTTGCGCGGCGATATCTTCTCCTGGGATGACTTTGCAGTCTATTACATCTTTTAATTTTCTGCGAGAGATTAGCATGTAATCTATCTGTGTTTTCCTAGTACCACTTTCATATGTTATTAAATGACTGTCTTTTTTCCTATAGTAGGTGTTGGTTAAGGCAAGGTAGAAGGCTTGCACAAATTTCAGTACGTGCTCTCCTTCATCATTTCTTTCTCCGTATCCAAAACCACCATGATGCCTTTTGTAGCTATCTCTTGCTTTCACCACATGCGCATTTAAGTCACCACCAATTATGACTAGGTCATCCTTAGGGATTTCCATTACAGCTTCATCAAGGATAGCTCTAAAATCATCTTTCTCTTCTTCCTTGCAACCCGTTTGAGGAGCATATACTGAAAGGATGTGTAGTATTGATTGACCAATGCAGAGTTTTATCTTCATTAGTCTATCAGAGATCCTGTTGACTTCTACAACTGAGGAGGTTAGATCTTGACTGAGGATGATGCCGACACCGTTCCTATTGCTAACAAGTCCATTATAGTACAATTTATACCCATCTCCAATCATCAAAGTCTTCTGTCCTTTCCATTTCGTCTCTTGTATGCACACTATATCAACTTTTCTCTTGTTCAACATTGATGCCAATTCTCTCGTCTTACCTTTAAGCGTCCCAATATTCAAACTTGCCAGTCTTGTCTTCTTTGCTTTGACCTTTACTTTATTTTTCACAGGATGGAGGTCTACACCCTGCGCGTCGCATGGAGGGAACGCCCTAGCTTTCATATTCATATTTTCATTTGTGTCCTCCATTTTTGTTTATTGGACAGGTATCCTTATAACCCGGCTGTCCAGGCCTGTCGGTGACCGGGGTGTCATCTCTAAGCTCCGAAATTCATCATACCATATGTCTTTACACATCAGTCATCGAAGAAAAACTTGAAAGTTTTTATGGTTCTTACCATACTCGTGTTTCCAAGCCCCATTAGGCCACCCCGGCGATATTTAATTATGTTAAGTGTATAGGAAATAATCATGTTATCAAAATTGGTGCCAATACTGAATATGGCGATGGGAAGGTCTTGACATGATTTTGAGAAGTTTAAGGAGAATAATAAAAACCTCATTTGGTTTTGATTGATTTATAGAAGACTAATAGTAACCAGAGAAGTTGTGTGGTGATATATGCAGTCAGATTTACATGGAAATTCCTTAATTTCGTTTCTGGATAAATGCTAAATACTAAAAGTTATGAATTCAGACTTGGTGTACTAATTTTACTTGCTAAGAATGAGAAAGATAGCTAGCATTGTTTTTATTTAAGATTGAAGGTGATAAGATATGGTATGCTTATTGGGGATTTAAGATGATAAAGGTAGCTTGGTAGAGGGCGAAGCTCTGGAGTTTATAAAGGCGATAGTAAGTACGTCCAGATTTTTTGGATGGTTTAGAAAATTGGTCAATTAATAGAAAAGGGAAAACGTTTATGTAAAGCAAGTGGAACTGGTTAAAACAAAGATGGATTGAATAAGCAATTATGAATTTCAAAAATTGGGCGATAGCTAGTATCATAAAAAAGAGGAAGTATATAAAATTATGATAGAAATAAAAACAACATTTATGAATTATATCATTCGAATTAAAAAGATAAATATCGTAATGATACTAGAATGATTTATAGTAGGACTGCGCCGATTATAAAATGACTTGGTTATAAATGTGTTAGCATTATATTTTGAAATTGGAACAAGATTAGCTGTTAATTTTCAATGCATAATCATATTGGGATGTTATTAAAACTTTAAAAGTTTTTCAAACAAAATATCTTAAGGTGGGATCAGTATCGGCAAATCAAATCATCCTATGTTTTGGACAATTTTTAGTCGATCCTATAGAACAAATTTTGGAATCAGTCGATTTTAGCCCCTTCCTATAATAATTTTGTATTATAACAAGTTTTGTTATATCAAGATTCCAACATGTGCATAAAAATGCCAATTCCAAGATAAACACTTTAATAACCAACTGGTGTATGTATCTAGATAAAATATTGCATAAATAAATGATTAATTTACCTTGGTATATACTGATTAGAACCCATATAAAAAACGTTTTATAACATAGAGTGCGACCCTATAAATAAATTTAAAAAAATATGTCAAAAGTTATTATGCATGTATAATTAAAATTATTATAAATATTAAAGGTGATCTTAAACAGGTTCGCGCTTTCAAAAATTGAGTGTGATGGTTCAGGATTCGTTTCGGTTTACTGATTTCTAATTTATGAGTAAATTACGAATTAAAGGTTTTAATTTTAAAAAAAATAATAATTGAATTTTTATTTTAAAAATTTTTACCAACTATTAGTTCTTAGAAATAGGTTCAAATAAAAATTATAGTCATTTTAAACCATATAAGCGTCAACTAATCCATAAAAACTATTTCCTATTTCTATGGGATCCCTTGTGTATATGTTCAAAAAAGCTATTGAAAATAAAGAATTTGATATCAATCTCAAATTATTTAGGATGGCGAATCTTAAAATCACATAGAAACTTTGACTAAATCCTTGTATAATTCGGGGTACATCATAGCAGTTTGAGGGGTGACATCACGATCCAGAATAATTGAAAACACAGGAAACATTGTGTAGATGGTGGAATAGCTTTTCAAAAAAGTCAATATACATAAATAAATTTGATCTACTAAAATAAAATTATTTGCTTTTTATTATTTTATTTTTCTTAAACAAAAAAATTAATTTATAAAAAATCAATAAATATAGTTAAATAACTAGATTTTTGTGAATATCGAAGGTAAAATTTTAAAAAATAAATATATATTTAAATTTTTTTTAAATTCCGAAAATCGTATTGATAAAAAATCTTATGAGTAGAGAGAGTGTAATGTAAGAACATTAGGTATTGTCTTCTTTTTTAAGCGTGAAATGAGTTGATGGGTTTAACGGGGAAGGAAGAAATATGATTCATCGCAACTCTTTGATTATTTAAGAGAGCTCGTTAAAAGATCAGGTCAGGATTTTTAATATACGCATCACCAATTAATATTGAATCACTTGTCATATGAATGAGGATTGAAATTACAGTGGGAGTTAATATTAGTATAATAAAATAGTTCGTTGAAATAATTATATTTAGAATCTGTTGATATTATTAATTGTTTTAGGCCACATAGTGAACGCAACCAATTATAAATTTGTTTCAAAACAAATTCTCACATGGAACCATACAAAAGAAGGTTTAAAAAATTCGAAAAAAGAAAAAAAGGGTTTATACATTGCAATGGTATTATAAAATCCAGATCCCATATATTAAACCCGATAAAAGTTATCTCACTTTTCATGAGAGATTATTAATTCATAACATCACGAAAGATCACCTTTCGTTTAATATGGATGGGTAGGAAACATGCAAGAAAAAATGTTGGACTTGCCTAATAGAATCAAAAAGTGTGTAGAACTTGTGGTTTTTCTATGATATGAATGAACATATTAGGGATCAAAATTTTAGGTTTAAATCATCACAAATTCGAGATTGAAATTAGCATAGGCTATAACCCGTTAAATTTAAGATGGTTAGAGACTGGGATTAGCTTAGATAATATTTTCAAAACAAGATAAATGAATGATAACCATAATTTCGTTAAGAATAAACACATTTTACATATGAATATGAAGATATAATATTAAATTTCAAAAACTAAGAAATTTAGAAGAGTGTTGAAAAATTTATGGCATAAAATAAATAAATTTATTACTAATTGATGTTCAAAAATCAGACATTGGCAGGAAAACCCTTATGAATTATATAATCCTGATTTAAGAGGTAGTCTCGATAGAAAATTTTTTTATATTGTTATTTAATACTACTGTAAAGTAACTTCGATTAAAGTTCATTCGTTGCATATATAAATGGAAAATTATACAACATTCTCCTAAACATACGGAACATTGCTTTTATTAATTAAATAGTGAATAAGGGTAGAGGAGTTATTACCCAATCATTAGGTAACCTTGGTACAAAGCAACGGACGCAAAGAAAAAAATAGCCGAAAATACTGCTTGCATTGTAGATATAATAAGCCCTCTGTGGATTATAAATTGGCTCAGAGCTGCTGTTCTTTTGTAACTGTATCGCCCATGAACTAATATGAGTCTGGCTAAAATTATGTTACATATTAAAAGATATAAGTTAAATGAAGCGCCGGAGTTATTTATTAAAAGGTTAGGCAGTCATTATATTTATCTTACCCCTTCTATAACAGGTTATTTTTTGTATTCTTCTAAGATTGGGTATACTGCTCTTAAATCAATCTTTACATATTCTGAGAATATAATGATAATTTCGTAATGGCTACAGACACAAAGCTTCTTTGTTTTAATTTTTCTAATCCCCTACCTGTTATTATTTTTCTCTCAACTCTGCTTTATTTTTTCCCTTAATTTCTCAACTTAGATCTACTTTTGTTTTGTTTTAACCTAAATGCGAGAACTGCGCAAGCGAAAAATCAGCTGCAAGGCTAGCTTGCTTTCCTTCCTTCCCAGCAATCCCTACCCCAACGTGAGCCGTTTGTATCATTCCAACATCGTTACCTATGGATAGGAACATGGCGTGACAGAAAATGATATGAATGATTAATTTATTTATAAATCATAAGGGAAAAAATATACCTCCATCCCCAACAGCACAGGCCCTACATTTTTCGTTTCCGATAGATCCTTTAACCAATTTGGGCGTCTTTGAAGAGCCTCGGCCAAGTCTAGAGGCAGAATCAAAATAAGCTGGCAAGCGTAAAACGATTCGAGACTTTTGAGTTGGCGAGGCGCGGCATATTACGACGCAATGGGCTTCTAAAGCCGCTTCCATGAACTCAGGTTCAAAATACCTAGTACAGATCTATTTTTTTTTTAAATAGGAAATTATTATGTCTGTATTGAGGCCCGTTATAAAGATGGAGCGGCTCCGGACCGCCAAAATCAAATTATTTTAGGGAGCGCCAAATTTTGTATACATAAAAGTATAAATATTAGATTGATTATGCTTACCTAACTCAGTAATTCGTTAAATTCTTTATATTTTACTAAAATATTTTCCATATAATATTACTTAATTTACATTCTAGTGCTTATTCACGAATCTCACTTTAAAAATAACGAACCTAGTTCATTATTTTTAAAGCTTAGGTAAATTAAGGGATTTTAAAGGGCCCCTTAGATTTTATCCTCGGGCATGCAGTTTATAAATATAAATTCCCCTTTATGTAAATATTAAATTATATAATATTAAAATTTTTTAAATTATAAATTACGTGTTGAGAATATTATCATAAATGAGCAAATTTTAAATATTAATGTTATTGCGATGAAATAATTTTTATCGATTCAATATTGCCATTTAAACAATGATTTAATAAATTTTGCAGGGAAATAGATCTGATGTAATTTTTAAATAATGTTATTAATAAATTTGTCACAAGTTATTTCTTTCCAGAGCCTATTTTTAAAAATTATTTATATTTTATTAATAAAGCTTCGTTGTTTTCATTTTTTTGCTCATTCTCTTGCTTTCCACAGATCTTCGCTAGTCTTCCTTTCTTGTTCTTCTCATTTTACGCTATATTTCATCTTATTTTTTTTAATTTTTGGATTTGGATTTTTTGTATATAAACAATTGTTTATTATTTTTTAATATTGAATATGTTATGTGTATCGTGTTTTAGGTATAGCATGGAGTCATTTAGTATGATAAGCATTTTATTTGTGATAAATATTTTTTGATTTTTTTTTGAGCATTCATTCTTTTAATTTTTATTTGTGATTAATATTTTTTTTGATTTTTTTGTGCGCATTCATTCTTTTAATATATTATAATAAAATTATTATATTTATTTCATAGTAGGTATATATATAGAAAAAAAAAGGAAATAAAAAAAGTTGTCATTTTTTTCAGATTTTTTTATCGTCTTCCATTTTTTTAGAAATTAAATTTTTTGGTTTCGTTCAAAAGAGGAAATAATTATTCCTGTTGTTAAAAGAAAATTTGGAAAAAGAATTTTAGCATTTTTAGTCGAAAGAAAAAAAAATAAGACAAAGGAAAAGAAAGGAAAAAGAAAATAAAAATATATCAAGTAAAAAAAAAGTATACATTTATTCTAAAAAAAATTAATTAAAGTAGATAGGTAATAAGTTAATAAGTTAGAAAGAATAGATGTGGGAAATAAGTTATAAAAAATAGATTTATCTGATTTTTATATTTGCCAACCATATCAATAATGAATCGGACCGATCGGAGTTGATTTTTACCAGATCAATATTTTAGCCAAAATAATATTATGTAAGCCTGGAGATTTTGCTCATAAGTGGTAGAAAGGTTTGGACCTCCAGGCAAATCTCGAGGCTCACATAATATTATTTTGGCCTTTTAATCGGGCTGTTTTTATAAATCGAAATCGGGCCATTTAATAACACTACCAATCAATTAGCTAGTTGGAAAATTCACATTTTAAATTTCTCTTTGAAAAATTTTCAGAATTCACCATTTCCCAAAATTCAGAAAATCATCGAGATTGACAACTCCTCTTAAAGATGACCATAACTGGATGACCTCAGATCATATTATTAAGGTCTTAAATAAAAATGTATGTGAGATTCTAATTTTTTTTAACTTCTAAAACAGGTCCAGTCATGACTATAGGCGTATTATTGCACTCTTTCATGGCTCGATAAGTGTTGAGTTCCCTATGCACCTTAAAATATGAAGGATTAAATCATAATTTATGGACATTTTTATGTTTGTAAACATGCTAAAATTTTTTGATTATTTTTTAAAAAAGTAAAATATAACAGTAATTGTGCACTAGTGATGTTAAAAGTTACTTTTGAAACATAACTAGTTACATTGGCAAAAACATAACTAGTTACAGTTACTAGTTACATTTTTACAAAAGTAACTAGTTATTAGTTACCGTTATTTTCAAAAGTAACTAGTTACTTACTTTATACATCATTCATATGCGCATTATTTATTTATTGAATGCATTTATTTAATATAAAAAAAATTAGGATAAACAAAGTATAATCAGTTATTTAAAATAATATACAATTTATTTATATAAAAAAATATCGCAAAATTGAATATTTACATCGAATATAAAAATATATATTTGCATTGAAAAAAAAACATTTATTTTTCATAAAAATTAGAATCTAATAGATGTTTATTTGCTTTTAACAACAAATTAATTTCAAGGTTATTATCTAGGAGTCGTGCTCGTTTATCTCCAAAAATGAGCTTACCTAGACTGAATAAGCGCTCTACGGGAGCACTTGATGTTAGAACAACATTATATTTAATAAAGAGTAATTTTAACTTTGGAAAATCGCTATATAAAGAAAAAGTGTTATTAGATTTGATAAAGTTTTCTATAAGTTCATTATCCAGAATATTTTGGCGCTTTAGGTCAAAAAATCCAACTACATCAAGTGATGTTGGTTATGAGCATGATTCATTCGTCTGGGATTCACTTTGAGGTATTAAGATATTTATTAAATTTAAAATTTCCTCCTTTTTTGCTTTATTCCTTTCTTTCCTAATCCAAGGCCAGTCAGTTTTAAATAAAGGGTGAAGAATTGCAGCAATGTTGTCATTATCATAAAGATTATTAAACCTATATATAACATGATGTTATTAATTTATGAATAATTATTTGATTTTAGTTACCTTTTTTCAATACTAGCTAATATAGTATCCTTTAGAGGTTGACAATATTTTAATCCCTGCACATCTGCCATAGGTATTTGTGTTATTGTTGGGAACAATCAGACATTTTCAAAATTTTAAATTAATAAATTTAATTTAAAAAATAAATTTAATTTAAAATTAATTTATCACAACATATTAAAAATAAAATTAATTATTTGAATATATCTATAAAAGTAACTAGTTACTTTTGGTAGTTACATTTCAAAAATTTTAACTAGTTACAGTTACTAGTTACAATTTTAAAAATATAACTAGTTACAGTTATTTTTTAGCCAAAATGTAACTAGTTACCTTAACATCACTATTGTGCACATTACCATTTTTTAAAAATAGAATGGGCATGAAACATAAGCGTGAGATATCCAGGATTTAAGTAAACGGAAGGGGGGGGGTGTAACTTTTTACGATGATTTTTTTGGCTGGTTTTAGGGCCCTTCTTTGAAAACTTGTGGCCGGATTACATTTAAAAGATAATTTTGGAGTTTTCACTTATTAAAAAAAAATTTCAAAAAGTTAACTATCTATTTGTTTTGGAAAAATGATTTATAATGACATATTGTATCTATATTTAGGAAAGAGAGTGGGGGGTGGGTGGGGAGGGAGTTTTCACGAAAATATTTATTAGCGTAAAAATTATCTAATTACCAAAACTGGAAAATTTGTTATGGGGAGAATCCCCCAATTTCATTACGCCATTGTGTGCATTTAAAATAATAATTTTTAATTTAGTCATAACTTGTTGCTCAAAATAATGTTTTGCTTAAATAGGAAATATTTTAGAAGCATTCAAAATAGATTTAAATATTTAAACCCATTCCCCCCCCCCCCCCAACTAGAGATGCCGCTATGAAAGGCAAACTAATATATTATTTTTAAAATATAAGATCATCAGTAAATTGACTTATACAAAATATAGAATAAATGTTATGTAAAAATCATGATAAATTAATGGCCAATTTTAAAGGAAGCAAAATTTTTGCAAATCAAGATGTTTTGATATCGAAGGCTCATTTATCAAAAATTACCCTCTCTTTGATATCGATAATGGATTCGGAACTATTTTGATGAATGTCCTGGAAAATGAAAAGTGATTGGTTCCTATGAACCAAATGGGAACTCTTGGCTATGCAAACAGCCGTTTCTAATTTGTCACCTGTGAGCATCCATATCTGTTTTGGGATTTAAATATATTATAAATGGCAACTAGTTTGGGTATTAATATTATTTTTGACAATAACCTTATATATTTTCATTTGAAAAAAAAAACAATTAAGGAAAAATATAATTTTTACTCAATAAATTAAAAATGTAACAAAATAAAAGTTTCCTAAATATCGTACAAACAAAATTTAAAAAAAAACCTTATTATCAAATTAAAAAGATATAAATTCCCCCACAATTTAAAAAAAAAATAGACTATGTAAATAAAATCAAAGTATTTAAAAAAAAATATGTAAACAAGCTAAGAGAAAATTGATATAATTTTTTACTGTTGCATAATTTATTTATTTTTTTGAAAAATTAAAATATTTTTTCAAAACAGAATTTAAATAAAAATATATGAATATTCACTCACATCACAGCAATAACTTGCAAATTGAATGAGGATTCTAAATAAGAGTTTGCTAAACATTTAAAAAAGGTGAAAATTATGCAACAATAAAAAATATCTATTTTTTTTTCGCTATTTATATATTTTCTTTTGCCATTTATTGAAGATTTCTTTCTTTCACGTATCGGTATTCTTATTTTTATATAAAATTATCGTTTATAGGGTGATAAATTTTTTGCCTTTTTTAAAGCTAGTCAACCAACCATAAAGTTTGTTGATTGATTTATTTAACACATTCAAAATGTAAGATTGAAAAATAACTAACAAACATTATCTTATTTATGTTGTCTTTTATTATTATGGCTAATATACTTTAATTCCAGCGTTTCTTAACATTTCTAAAGCATGAGGAACACCATCTTGCAGCTTATCTTCCACTCCGGTAATGCCTAATACTTCAAGCCTTTTTAATAAAGATAAAAATTTTTTTAGTAGTTTTATAAATATATATAAACGAAATTTATACTGTAATCTGAATAATTAGACTATATTCTTAGAGTATATAACTCTAACCATTTTATATTTAAATTTAATAACGTAATTCTCTTAAAAGTTATCCTGATTCTTAAATAACCTATACATCATGAAGATTCTTCTAAAATGCAAGCCGTGTCTTCAAATTAACATAAGGATAGATGCAATATCCAATTCCTTAAGAATGTGAAGAAGATTAGGAGGGCTTATCACCCAATGTGTAATCAAGATGAGAATATATTGTCTCATCACGTGATCGGCCAACTAAATAATTTTTTCATTTTATCTTAAACATGGATTTAAATTTACCAATCAATAATCTTTCAAAACACATTATTTCAATGAGTGTACCTTCCGCCGGGTACGTTAAAGATTACATCATTATCATGGCGTCTGCTCTCTAAATCAGCTGATAACTGGTTGTATTCCTCTGTATTTAACGGCACTCGCCCTATTACAAGAGTTCTCAGTCCTTCCCGAGCCAAGTTACCACTTTCTTCATCAATCCAATCAAAAGCTTTTAAATGATAAGGCATTATTTATGAAATATATATAAGTTGTTTTTCAATATAGATTTTGGAGTAAAATAGTTTTTTGCAAAAGATTTGAAAATAAAAGAAATCAGAGATCAATACTAAATCAATCAAAGATTGACTTCGAAAATGAAGGACGGTAAATATAATTAAGAAAATTTTAAAAGTTTTCATCATCATTTAACCTTATAAAAATTCAAAAAAGTGGTATCGTTGGAAAGAGATCATGGAGTATTATGAATAAGCCGAAATTTATAGTATAAGCAGGATACGACCTAACAGCTGATCAAGTTTATAAAATTTTAATGTGAAAAATGGTTTTATGTTATAATTTATTTCTATCTTAAATTTATACCTAAATAAAATAAAATTGAATTAACTTTTCAGCAACCAACCACCGAATTGACAAGAACTAGCGAAATCGTTGAAATAAAGCAATCAATATAAAAAATATGCATACCATTCCCATTATAATTATCGACTCCATCGCTCCGCTTCCGCCTATGTTCTTCAGGATTCCAAGCTATCTTATCACAGCCGAATCCTGACAATGTATTTTGGTTCCTGTTAAACGTATTTTTTATGTTTGAATCTAGCGACGCCGCCGCCAGCCCGGATATAACGCTATCGGCTCCTTTGAAGTAATAGGTTATAACATTGGTATTTTCTTGTTTGACCACTAACCCCATCATCTTACGTTCTGAAGTGAAAGGGATGAGTTTTAAAATTTTGAAGGATTCCACTCTACCTAGGGGAGTCATAATTTTGAGGCTATTGGTGTCTCTGTGTATTAGTCTGATGCCTACCTTGCGAGCCCATGTCACTAGGGCAACCTGATAGTAATTATTATAAAAAAACAAAAATTGAGTTGAAAATTATAAAAAAACGAACTTTATATGAACCTCGTCGGGACTAGAGGCCTGGTAAGTTATAAGCCCATCTTCACTACTGATACTGTTGATGCTGAAGCTATTATTTATATTTCCTCCGCCTGTTCCTCCATCGGTACTCCTAAAGATAACCGAATTATTCAATCGATTCTCCGATATGAGTTGGGATGTCGAATCACACGTCGAATTTGATAAGACAGATTCGGTCAGACTGTCCCGATTGTTATTATTGTTGTTAATTACAGCATCTTGATATGTCATAGGACCGGTTTGTTTTGTAGACATTCTATGGTTGACTGAGGGCGTAGTAATGGTTTTATCGGTTTGGGCTTTAGCAATTCAAAAAGAATAGAAGAATGTTTTTGTTTTACTATAAAACACCATTAATTAAAATACAATTTACTGAGCACTTTCAAGTTTGAAATAATTTTTAAAGTTATTGAATAAACCAAATTATGTAAAAATGAGTGAGGTATAAAATTAACCCATTCACCAAGGTTACTAAAATAAATAGATCCGGTAAAAAAAAATATCTAAATAAAAGAGGTGAGCAAAATATCTTATTTCGGTTTATATAGACTGAACCGAGAGAGTGACGACAATAATTTTGATATCCTAAAAAATTCAGTTAAATAACACATGAATGAATTTATAAATTATAACGTTTTTAGCATTTAACAACTAGGTTTTGGGATCCCAGAAATTTTAGAATATAGGAAATGTTTGCCGGTTATAGCACTTCCCACTTTTATAAAGTTAAAGGCCCACTGAAAAAGGGTATGCTGTACTTAATATATATATATAACTAATTTTCCAGGCTACATAATTTAAATTTAAATATTTTTTTCTTCTTTATTTATTGATTTATATTTCGTGTCTTTAGATTATTGGAGTTGCTGTATCAATTCTACATAAGCATGTTTAGAGATATTTTAAATTGTTATGTTTTAAATTACTTATTAAAAAGATTAAATATTTGATTTCTTAGTTAATTAAATCATACATATTGGGTACTATTAAATACTATAGTAGAGATTTTATGATATGATTACTCAAAAAAAAATTTCAATGGAATTTTAATAGCAATAAAAATTTAACCTCTTTTAGATTTGAACCCGAACAAAAGATGGAACCAACCAAATAAGGATTTTTTAGACCTAATGGAACGCGGTGAAGAATGTATGCCGATATCAATGGTATTGCTCACGTCTAGATTACGCGATGAAGAAAGTTGAGAAAAAACTGGCGTTACATTATTGCATATGCAAAGTGCTTTAATGGTTTCGTATAAATCGTCATAGGGAGATATAGCCTTAAAAAGTTAAGAATGATATAGAAATATATAAATAAGTCTAAAATATTTACTTTCTTTTTCCTTCTTCCCTTTCTTTATGGAAAGGAGAAGGATTTTCTTGTCAAATATTAAAATCTTATCACTTATAAGAATGATTCGATTATCAAAAAATAATCCATATTTTTTAAACATAATAATTTGTTTCCTTAAATTAATATAATAATAACCTCAATTTCCGACAGCAAATGATGACCACCAGTGTTTTTTTCAATTGCTCTGGAATCTAAACTTTTTGAACTATCTTGTGAATTTTGGGTTTGCAAAACGGATTGTTGTGTAACATTAGTAGAAACTCTCTTAGTCATATTATTAACATTGCTGAGGTGAAACAAGTACGCGGCTTCAGCTAGTTTGAGTTGTCTGGAGATTTCACCCTCTGTATCAGGCCAAAATGATCTATTGGTTTGGCCCAGGTAGAGTCTTTTAAAGACCATCTCGTTTTTGGTTAAGGTTCCGGTTTTGTCGGTAAACAAGTATTTTATTCTGCCCAATTCTTCGGGAATTGTTGTATTTCTAACCACATTTCCTGGAAATCATTTTTTAAAGAAAAGTAAAAGGAAAAAGGGATAGAAGATGATGAATTAATGTATATGTCGGGATGTAGTATAGTCGCGAGTTGAAATAATTTGCCATTTATAGAAGATTTCGCTATACACGGACACATCCTGTCCGAATTTGGCGGTCACAGACACTAATTTTTATATGGGATTTAGTTGCTAGTGGAGTCAAAAAGGTTTTGATATAGATCTTATTTTTATATTAGAATTATATCGCAAATGTAGAATGATTATAGTATGTTATAACATATAGTATAATAAGGCAATAAAAGAGTTTTCAATAATTCATTGTTTTTACTTTATTATTGATATTTTGAAGAACCTTATGTCAAATATGGTTAAAACGTGTAGGGTGGAGAGGCTCTTCCATATATACTAAAAATATCTTGTTGGCACCATAATAAAAAATATTAGGTGAAACTAGGTGGCGAATGGGGGGGGGGGGGTAACAAAAATAATTTGGTAACGGCTTATTAAAAATTTCGATTATGTATTTCTGATTTCCTAGTGGTTATTTTTATTTTTTTAAAGCATGTCATATCTTTACATCATTTCCGTTAAAATTGGCTGAACAATTGCAAGCATTAGTTCTAATGTCTGTGCCAATATTTAGTGCCTTAACCAATATAAAGGAAAAAAATCAATAGCAACAAAACTTTGAACAACCTTACGAACACAAAACGACTCAAAGCATTTATTCTAAAAATTTTATTAATGTTTAGTATCTAATTGTTATATTATTTCAATCAGTTTGGTAGACCATATAAAGAAATAAAAAGTTATTTGCAACATAAACAATAGTGATCAATTACAATATATTAAAATTAGTATAACCCTAATCCCAATACAAATAAAAAACAAACTAGTGGTAAAGCCGTTTATTTACTTATATAAACCAAATAATGCTATAAAAACTCAAAAATATTTTAGGAAATAATGATTAACTAAGACTAATGTATTACATGTAAAAAAAATCAGCAACTAACCGGGCATCTCTTTGTCCTTGGTGATCATATAAGCATAGGCCATTTTAGCTAAGTCCATATTGACCCTGAGACTTATTGGAATAATGTAACTGAAAAGAAGGATGAATCTAACGAAGTACCGGTACCATGGACCCGAAAAACCTTTCAAAACCATCAAGAGTATGGAGAGGGTCAACACCGACACGAATAAGATTTTAGTGAACCCGTTGATTTCTAAATCGGTTAAGCCGACCTAAAATGGATGAATGTAATTATAGTTGCATTACTATTTTTCTGATAATTAATTTCAAAAAGTTATAATTTTTGAACTTTTAATAATAAAATATTGAAAATTGATCAGATCCAGTATTCAGTTCGCCATGTCCCTTGATTTTCACTATTTTTAAGAAAATTTTTTAATATTTTATCAACTAATTTCTAGATAGGATTGGGTTAGAAAATGTAGAGCTAATCAAGAGTTGATGAACGCAATTAATTACATTAAAATAATAATGTAAATAAATTATGACTTCTAATCGAACCATTTTGAATGTTTTATTTATTTTAACCTTTTAATTTCAAATCATATATGACCATAATAAAATCTAAATATAATTATATCGATCTTCCTATAATATGTCAAAAGGCCTTTCAATTTGTGGCCACGCTAAGGAGGATAATTGTTTATGAAGATTAATAATATGTTATATATAAACCAGTAAAATAAAAATGTCCAATTTTTTATCCAATTTTTCTATAGAAATATCCAAAACTAGAACTCCGACTTAAAGGGAGGTCCCGGCTTTGGTTCATATCTGTTCCGTACCAAACTTTGGAAATAACTTTACCTAAAACAAAAATTATTCATTTGGAGAGCATCTTGTTGTAAATTTTCAATTTTTACAAGAAAATGTTAAATTTCTATAAAAAAAAATATATAACCTTGCTCCTAGGCTGGGAAGAATTCATACAATTTCTAGATTCCTTTCCTGTATAAATTACGAGGCCAAGCGCGGAACCTTCTGATGCTAGCACGCAACTCGACCACATAGTGAAGTCAATGTTTAGATTCTCTTTACAAACGAGTTTCGGTAATATAGGGTTGGAGACTGAAATCTTTTTCGAGAGTTTAGACGAAGATGATGTGATGTTATGGAAGTCTTCTGGCTTGGTGTATAATTGCTATTAAGAAATTATTATAGTAGTATACAATATAAAATAATAATGGTACAAAGATGTGCGATCACAAGAGATTCGGGAGATAATTTGACGTTAATTAGAAAGAAAAAATCTTAAAGGGTAAAATGATTAAAAATAAAAATCCCGACTGGGCAAAAAATTCTTTTCTAAATCTGAACTGGTGGGCCTAATATTTTGACCTCTGCAGGTTTCTACAAATTATTAAATTATTCTTTAAACTTATTTGATCGACATAAGAACTAATAACTTTGATAGGAGTTCAAAATAGTCATAACTAGAAAATCTTCTTATTGAGTGAGGGATAGATATTTATTAAAATTATATATCAAGATATAGAATAGGAATTTAAAAAAATCAGGTGATTGTAAGGGAAATTACCTATATTTAAATCTCAATAGCAAATTTAATCGAAGAATAATCTAAATAAAATAATACTTCTAATAAAATTTCGACATACCATTTAAAAAAATAAATAAGAAATACTAACAGCAGTAAAGGTGCCAAAAAAGTTATGTATATCCTTCCTAGGTGGTTCTATATGAACATTCATAACCAATGTTCCATCTTTAGCCATTGAATCTCCAGCATTACTAATATTACTATCAATCATATCAACTTTACTACTAAGACTAATAGTCGAAGAAGGTAAAATATTTAGGTTAATCAGGTTTTGGCAATAAGGAATAGCTTTTCTGGATTTCCAGTCAGTTTCACCGTCCAGTTGATCCGTTCTGATGAAACAAGAACCATTAGGTTCCGTAGTTTTAAGCAAAATCATGTCGGCCGGAATTCTTTGGTTCTATTATACCAGTTTATGGATTAAAATTTTTAGATCTGATATATAATAAATATAATATATCTTCTATAATAAATAGCGAATTAAAGCCATATATAGAAGGATTCGGCCCAGTTCTAGGCCCGAGGGGGGATTCGGGTCAGTTTCAGAAAAATATTCATTTTTTCGGTTTCTAAAACTTCAATTTAAAATTTTTAAAAATGAGCACTCTTTCATATTTTATAAATTTTTTAGCACAATAAAACCCATTCGTCAGACTTACATTATTGAAGATGTAATAACCATTATATATTAATATTGCATTTAATACGCTTTCAACATATTAAGGGATCTTGAACAAACCAATGATGGGTAAACAGATCCTAGTCCTACATATAGAAAGTTGGTTAATCAAAACTCTTGTAGTATTTTTTTCTCTACAATAAAACAAAATAAATTGGAGGATTGTGCCTATGTAATATTCTCCATCTTGAGGATGAAGATATTTAAAAAAAAAATTATGCCTATTTGATCACTATTATATTTCCTAAGTCGATACTGGTTAAAATTTTCCATTCACACTTTGAATATACATACCATAAAAAAAGATATAAATTTCAATAAATTTTTTTCAATTTAATACACATGATATATAATAGATACACATATTTATATATTTATATAGTTAATTTTGTCAAAAATTAAAGACAGCTATCAATATAAAAATTCTAAAATACGTAGTTTACAACTTTCGAATAGTTACATTTTTTCCATTTTATAAATCATATCATTCATTCCTCTTGTAAAAATTTTTAAGGAACAGGAAGTTTAGAATCCTATTAAATAAAGGTAAAAGAAATGTTTTATATTTAAATATATTGTTATATTCATTAATAGTGTTAAAATTTAAGTTTTAAGGTACGTGTACCCAGATACATAATGCGCACAAATGCAATATGAATTTGAGCTTTTTTGATTATTTATTTTATAATATTAAATGCTCTTTATTTGTTATCTATAGTCAAAATATACTGTATTCCAGAGGATAGTTTTGATTCTAACCTTAGTGGCTCATCAGATGAGGAAATTCTCGATTCAAGATCAGCAGCTGTTGATTCTAGCGGAAATGGGGTATTTCAACTATTGGTACCACTCCATTCCAATTTTAAATTGTGTTTTGATAATTGATTCGATAGTATAGAACTTCAAGTATTACTCGCCCAAAAGGGAGTATTGCTATAGCGAGAGCTAATAGAATTTATAATTGCCTGTTTCCAACTGAAAAAGAATTCTAAAAGATGGAGCGTGGATCTTTTATCGAGAAGAAGGAAACAGTAAATGGTGTAGAATTATATGCTACTAAATGGCATGATAATAGGTCTGTAATTATTCAAAGTACGTATATAGGTAGTTACCTTATTGGAGATTGTGAACGGTTTTATAGAAAGGAACGACGGAAAATTAAAATTCCGTGTCCAAGCAGCTATAAAAGTTTACAATATAAATATGGGAGGTGTAGATTTAATGGATTCATTGATTGCTTTATATCGAATTCATATAAGATCACATAAATGGTATCACCGTATAGAATTCCATATACTTGATATTATGCTCATATATCTTGGTTAATGTATAGGCGAGATTTTCTAGTTTTAAAGTTACCGGTAATAGACAGATGCCATTATTAACATTTAAAATTTCAATAACAGATATTCTGTAAATATAACAAAAATATGAACGCTAGCGTAAAAAATGAATTTCAATTGACACTAAATATAAAGAAAAATCTAGCAAGGGGCCGACAAGTCTTATTACGTAGAAAGAAATAAGACAGGATTTAATAGCACGTTGGACAAAATATAGCAAAAAGGCGCGATGCAAAAACCCTGGGTATAAATTAGTTACGAAGTGATTGGTATCAAATATGTATCATTATTTACTACAAAAAACGATTGTTTTAATTTATTTCGTTTAATATAAATTTGTTTTATTACATTATTTATCAAATAATAAAATTATGTCTTTATTTTGTAATAGGTTTGAAATTAAAAAAATATGATACTTTAATTTTTTTTAGATTTAAAAAAATTTTTTTTAAAATTATTTTTAGTTTATTAAGGGCCCTTTAAAGACAAAAATAAGTTTTTTAAAAAAATTATATCATTTATTGATATGTCGCGCAATAGAGGGTTAACTCTCAAGAGTATTTTTAAAATTTAGACTTAATTTACATGAATTATATTTCTTAATTTTTTTAAAAAAATTATACTCAGTCACGTGCCAAAAATAACTCCTGTTTATTTTTGGAAATCCGGTTGGTAAAAGCATTTTTATTCATTTTCAGAATTTGAAATTAAATCTTAATAAAAAAAATTTTTACTCAAAAATTTTGTGAAGATTTTTTTTTCAAACTGTTTATTTTAATTTTTATTGAAATAGTGTTGAAAATGCGATCGATGGCAGCTAAGATCGCATTTATAGTAAAAGTGTTTTGTTAAAGCGTTGCGTCATTTAACGCTATGAGTTGAGTGCTGCCTTCTGGAAAAAATAATTAATATATATTCCAAACATTTTGCATGTCAATTTTTTTTGAAATCTAGAATTGCCCTATTTAATACAGTTTAGTTCTTAAAATTGTGTACAGAAACCTGTAAATAAAAGTTTTAAAAACTTTAAGGGAACCTAATGATAGAATTTTTGAAATTGTCTTAAAATATGTTTTGATCACAATTATTTTTATTTTTTTCTATTAAAAAAGGTGAGGCTAATTTCGCGTTTTTCGATAGTGTTGAAATTTTCAAATAAAAATTTTGGTTATTTTGACACAGTCTAATTTAAAAAGAGAGAAGTATTAACAGCTTTTTTAGTAACATGTGTCTTCTCAAAAATAGTGATATGTTTTTATTGTGCTATTCGGATCTAATTAATATTGAATTACAAAAAAAGTCAATAAATAGATATATATTTTTAAATATGGAGCGCTATTGTTAGGCGCTTCAGGAATAGAATATAGGAATTTATTTATCTTTTTATAAAAATCAGATATCAATTATTTATTTTTTTATAATAGTTTATACATATATTTTTGAAAAAAAATTTAGATTAAATATCATACTTTAGGCGTATATAGTAATAAAATCAATTTATATAAATTAATCATTAAAAGTATATTAATAATAACCAATGAAATAAATAATAAGTATTTAAGATAATTACGGTAAAATAAATATTAATAATGACTTACTAAGTATTGAAGTTCGACACCTCTACAGTTAAACTGAATCAGGTGAACGCAACTAAAATAACGTATTTACTATAAATGCAGCATAATAATTCGTAAAGAATGCTTCATAACCAGTTTTTTAACTATTTATTTTGAAAATATGATTTAAAATAAATTAAACGTTGATTTAATAAAAATTTAATTCATATATTATATAAATCAGGTCCGTGAAGTTGGCCCCCACTTTTGGATTTTCAATGGTTCAGTTGGACTGATTTGTACCGTTTTCAGTTTAATTTGCATCATCACCGTTTTTAAGAAATTCAAAGATAAAAATGGGGTGCAACTTCACGTCAGTCCCCAACTTTTAAATTTTAAATAAAAATGGTATAGGTCGATAGAGAATGATTTGTACCAAAATGTATCGTTTTTTGATTTGTACTATTACCGTTTTCCAGATATTGACCGTTAATGTTTTGGTTTTTAAATATGGAGCGCTATTGTTAGGCGTTCATAATTTTTTTTTTAAATTTCTTAACGTACAACGATAGAGAACTTTTTCTCTTTTTAATGATGCTTCAAATAAATTTTTATCTCCATTATTTATTTCGGAAATCAAATTTTAAACTTACACTACAGACCATAAATGACTGACCACCCTATATTTTTACATATTAATAACTTAAAACTTTTTAACTTATTTGGGTAAAAGCGAATTGATTATTTAATTTAAGATGTCTAGACATGTTTAGAAATAAAAAACTCGGAATTTCTATAAATCTTTCTATGAAATTTTAGCCTTTGAAAATAACATGTCAAAAATGACCAATTTGGTAAAATAGGGTTCATTAGTTTTTTTCAGCAACAATTTTAAGTTGCCCATTGTTTTTTGGAAGAAAGTTATTAATCACATTCTAATCTGCTTATTAATAGCTATTTTTTAATTATTTTAAAAAAAATTCCTAGATTTTTTTTTGTTTTAGTTTAAAGAAACTTTCAGTCTTTATAAATATTTTAACGAACATTCGACCAAAATGATTAAAAGAAAAGAAATTTCTATTCCAACTAAATACAAAATAATTAATTTACACATAAGTGGTAAAGGTAATCGCCAAATTGCCAGAGAATAAACCCTAGCTCGACGAACAATCGATTGTATACTTAAAAGATTACGCAACAATAATACAATATCGAATCCAAAGAGGTCTGGAAGACCCCACAAAACGACTTTAAACGATGATAGGTATACAGCAAGGATCAGTAAACGCAATCGATGCCTTATCGCCACAGAGATAGCTGCGGAGATTAATCTAACTCGGGAAAACCCGATAAGTATCACAACTGTGAAAAGGCGCCTTAGGAGCTTTAAATTTTATGGTAGGGTAGCGGTCAAAAAGCAACTCTTGAGCAAAAAAAATTGTGTTTTAACTAGTTTATGATAGTATTTATGTCTTTGTTCTAGTGATATGTTTTTATATTACCATTTATATTTTTGTTTTCTTTGTTCAATTAGAAGTGATGTGTTTTTCTCATTATCATGTATATCTTCTTTTTTTTTGTTCACGTATACCAAGCTTGTTTTGATTTCATCCTCAAAACTGGTTCTAGCCAGTTTTCGAGATGGGCCTGGATTATGAACATTCTTTTTTTTTATATTTAATTTATCTATATAAAGACCACGAAAAATGAAATTCCGGATTGTGATTTTTTTTATGAAAGATTTATTAATTTCTTTTTTTGTAACTATTAAAATAAATTTGTTTTACCATATTTACACTACGTTGTCCGCTTGATTCCATGA